AATAAAAAATCTCAAAAAGCATCAAATTGATTATCTACTATTCATGGACTTATTTTAATTCAAGTTTGGATTTTATCAACTTACAGATCATATTCTTTAATATTTCTTCATAAATTTCAGATATTGTTTAATTAAAATAACCTCATCTAAATCGCCATAAAAAATAATCAAAAGTTTTGTTCAATGTAAAATAATACAAAATAAACTTACAAATACACACAAATGAAAAATTATATATCCAATAACAAGTTAAAAGTTTAAATATAATGCTTATTTATTTTCTTTTTTTATTATATTTTAACCACAAAGCTTGCCTCGTAGATCTTTCAATTTTTTAATAAGATTGTTCTTAAATCTGTATAGTGATAACAAATAAATTTTTTTGTTAATCTTTTGAAAGTTTCACTAATTGAGAGTTTCAATCAAACTTGTCCAAATAATTTAACCCTCATTCAATGAAGAAGATTTGAATGTTTATTATATCAAAATTAACCAACTTTGACATTAAAAGTATCATCATAACTTAGTTAAATAAACTCATCTATCAAATTCTTAAAGTGTGCAAAAATATTATTAAACCGTGAGTTTTATTAATAATTATCAAAAAATTGAATCTTCACGTATTAAGCATATGATGAGATTTTTCAATATACTCACACTTTTGAACTTATTTTATTTCGAAAACTTACTATTCTTCTTCACAGTTAATTCCCCCAGTTATAAAATTTGCACTTTATATTATCCTGTGAGCTTAAGATATCTTAAATCAATATTCCAAACATCTTCCCTAACAATCAATTTAAGAATGAATGATCAGTTCAATATGTAATCATTTTTAGCATTTTGATTTTAAAAAATACATTTCTTGTAAAAAGAAATAATATAAATGTTTAAATACATGAAAAATGAGCATTACATCAAAAAATTAATCAAAAAATTTCACATGATATAATATATGCGTCAATTAAATCAAAACCATAAGTTTGAATTCATTAAAATGAAAAAGATTTGAATAAGCTGTTTTTTGAAAATATTTTAGCCAAAATTCTTATTATAAATCTAATATATTCAACATACTTCCCATACTATAATGTGTGATTGAGATGCCAAACTATATTATTTTTTGAGCATATATTGTGATAAGGTAGAGTGATATATACTCTAAAATAGGGAATTTTATGTTGAAGATACATCTTAAATTTTCAGATTAGTAATTTTATTGTAAAAATCTCACATTCTTGCCAATTTGATGTTCAATCTCAGATTTTAATATATAAATTCACATGTAAAAATGAATTCAAACATCAAATACTTAAAAAAATACATCATATATATTTAAAAATGTGAGTTACAAAATATTGAATCTTGACATTATGTATACAATCAAAACTGTGTTTGAAATTATAAATTGCATTGCTACAAGCAATTTGATTTTTTTATAGCATTAAATGTGATCTATAATTTACAAAAAGTAATTGTAAATATATAAATATATTTTTTTTTGTTGCAAAAGATGAATATATTTTTTAATGCTTATATGACACAACTAATTATTCATTCGTTAAGAGATTTGAAGACTTGCACTTTTTCAAAAATAATGTTGACTTCTAAATCATTTAAATATTTGTGACTACAATCTTTCAAATTAATTTTTTTGAGTCATGATTTGATTACAACATCAAAAAGTATATATTGATGAAGATATGCATCTAATACATCAAACAATATCAAAATCCTTCACATATTAACAATAAATTTGACTTTGTGCAAATCATCATAAAATTGAAATTCAAAATTTTAATACTTTTATTTTACAAGATTGATTATTTCTTGTTGAAATCAAATGGCTTGATATCAAATAAGATTTAAAAATAACTTTCATATACAACATATGATAAAAACTAGCAAATTTTAAATTCTTAAATCTTTTGTCCGATGAATCAAATCTCAAAGATCATAATTTAAAATATCAAAAATTATTATCATCATCAAATAAGTTATCCGTAATTAATTCTATTTCAAAACACTTTCTGAATAAAATTTGTCTTCTTTCCCAGATACGTTAGGTTTTGTCAAAAAACTTCAACATTTGACAACTATGATGAAATAATCAAAATGTATATCATGTTTGGCGATGTCAAACATGTCAAATCTTAGCATAGCTAAGGGTTATAGTATTAGTGTTGTTTCATGTGAATATTTCTACTTATTTGAATTTTCAATTTAATTTTAATAGTTTCAAAAAAAATTCATTTAAACTTTCATTCATCCTCATTTACATTTCAATATAAGCCTATGGCTTGCTATAAGGTTCAGAACACAATTTGAATGTTTCATTAGCAAAAGAATTTGAATAATTTTTAGCTCAAAGTCATAGAATTCCACATATGATTATTCAAATTTGAAATTGGATATAAATGATGAATTTATCAATCACTGCAATATAAAATATACATACATTAAATTGAGCAAGATGTTTGATTATGATGATGTATGACTAAATCAAATTGTTCTTTGTGCATTAAAATTTTACACATTGTGGAATTTGTTTTCAATGAAATTGACATGACTATCTAATTCTCTGCAAAAAGATTTCATTTATATGAAAAAAAAAATCAGCATTATTTTTCATGTAATTCAATGATTTCAAATTTTTATTTGATGCAAATTTGTATGAATTCAATTCCAATTTTAATAAAAAAAAAATGTAAAGACAAAGTAATCACAAGATCAATATATCAATATATATAAGACATCTTGTGAAAATTTTCAAGAAATTCTAGACCTAATGAATCTTTCGATCTCAAGCATTATTTATTTTTTGATGACTAAATTTTGTCAAATTTTAGAGTGCTATTTATTTCAAATAAAAATTGTGGTATACTAATGAATCAACATCATGGAATGTTTTCCTTTAAATTTTTTGGTGAAATCAATAATCAGATAATTTTTGCAGAATAAATTTTTCAATACATCATAATTTTTCATAAATCAAATGGTATATCCATTGTTATAAAAAAATTTACATGCAGCTGTTGGGTACTACTGTATTTTTACTTGTATTACAATAATTTAAAACGAAAATTGCTCAGACAATCTTTGTTCTGCTGAACATAGTGCACACATTGTTTTTTTTTCTTACCTAGTGTATTTTTTCTTCACTTGTTCAAAGACTTTCAATACGGATTCAAAAATACTTTCAAAAAAAATTTCAATACTTTATGAGAATACCCTAAAATCCTAGATTTTTTTTCTTCAATTTCTATCATGCCATTATGAGTTTCATTTTTCAAAACTCTTCTGAAAAAAAAACTGTTTTATGAAAACTCATATAAAATCTGCTTTGGACCAATACAAACTTCACATAATTATATATTCATTCATGATGCACACACTTTTAAACATAAATGACGTTTTCTACAAAAAATAGCAATAGTCTAAACCTAATTTATTTTAACCAAAGATTACGTTGATTTTTAACAAAATTTACTGTAATGTTTGAGAAGACATTATAATCTAATATAATGAGTTCAATAATTCATTAACAGTTGGGACAGAAAAAAATATAGATTTTAAATAATCATATAAATGTATATGTGATATTTTTATAGTTTGGTTTACAGATAATATGCACAAATATTTTTTTCGTATTTATGTATTCGAATAATTTTTAAAATTAATTTTAATATTTACAAAAATCCAATTTTTTTAAGAAAATTCATTTACCTCTATCTTATGTATATTATCATTTTTTGGGTAAAACTGAATTGAGTAATAGAATAAAGTATTTAATATAGCTTTTTTACTTGATCAATATGGGTTGACTCTTTGCTTTCCTAAGCAACATTTTCGCAACTTGGTTTCTTGTACAATATATTATCTTGATTCAATAATTATTATAGGAAATTTTGTTTGGATGAAATGAAAATAATTATACCGTACATACTACTTATTCTAGTACTGTAAATGAAAACAATATGATCCTAGATCTTATTTTCTAATAGAATTGAATTCGAAAAGAAATTATACAGCAACTTTTAAATAATTGTGTCCTCAATATCACATATCTCTTTCGGTTAAAGATCAAAACTGCTTGCACCTATCACAAGATAGATCAAAAAAGTATCTTTCTTTCTGGTAAACTGTTCACTATAATTTCTGATATCTAAATAATTGTGGACAATTATAACTGAAAAAATATTTATTAATAAAAAAGGAAGGAATTGTTTTCTCCTAGTCGACATCAGTACTGCTGTTTGGGTTTTCGAGTCAGGCTCGCTGGGGCTGTTCATATTTTGCTACTTCTCTCTTAGTAAATAACCACAGATCCTACTCCAAAATCCAGATTGGAATATTAATGGGTAAGATCAACATTCCATACATATCAAGCAACTGCCATCAAGAAGGCATTGGCTTCTTATATATCTAGTAGGGTGTATGCTCCCACACAGTAGCATGAAATTGAAATACTTCACCCGGTCCGTATACTGTTAAATGGAGGGTAGCTACAATCACAGCACCCATCTATCAGAACATACAATCATTCTTCCAACACTTCATGTAACAACGATTAACTCTTGGCGAGAATAAGAGAGACCCTCTGCTCCTGTATGCATGCGAGTACCAGGCCCCTTATGAGACTCAAAGTCCATCAATAAATATTCACCATTAAACTTTTCTAGGCCATACGAGAAGGAACAGGACATCCATGAAGCAACAGCAACAGGAACCTCAATGTTGGTACGCGGATTCGAACTCCAGTGTCTCCTTCAAGTGGCTGAGAAAAGGACAACAGCTCCACGGCAGTTCTGCAGTAGGTGAGTGACAAGCCTATTCAGAGCACTCTGCCCTACCCTGTCTGCTCGTCAGGCACTCAGTCTGAACGTTGGCACCGGGGGCGACTGTGCGATTCGACCAAGTACTATGTACTTGGTCGAGAGGCAGACAGGAAGACACAGAAGAGGAGAGCGGAGCGTGGTAAGCACAGTCGACGGATGTTGCCGAAGGGTTTCCGCCCCCGAACGTTGTACACGTAACCAACACCAATAGGTAAAGAAAGAAAGAAGGGAAGGGAGGGGAAGAGTGCCCGGGAAAGCGAGGGGTCCGGTGGGCCGTGAATTTTGGTTGCAGTGGTGCAATTGGGGATTTGGGAGTTCGGAGTTTTGGGGAGTTTGGATTGCCGACAGAGGATCTGGTCTGAAGGTTGTGTGCTCACGTCTACGGGCTAAGAGTAGACAGGGAATCAGGAGTTTGTGCGTGCATGTGCGTCAGCGTACGATAGAAGCTGTACAGCGAGCTATCGAGAGGTTTTTCGGGGAGCAATTCTGCGAATTTGGGGAGCTCTGAGGACCAGAAGCCAAGATGAGGGGACGTGGAATTGCCACCATCAATTTTGCAGTGCATCGGTATCTCAGGGCATCTTCGAGTTTAGCCGGATCTTCCGGGAGAGTGAGTTCGACAATTGTTGATTTCAGCGGTGGGAGCTCGATCGTCAAGGATGACAGAGATGGAGCTTATGGACACAATTTCAAAAATATGAAGTCAGATCGGAAACTTTTTGGCATCGCAGCTGGAGCATTTTCAGCGTCCTTTGCGTTTTCCTCCATGAGTGCAGCGTTGGCGAAAGAAAGAGTAGTACCTGAACGCATGCCCGAAGAAGTTATACTTTATCAGTATGAAGCCTGCCCTTTCTGTAACAAGGTGAAAGGTGAGGAGTGATTCTGTTGGAACCCCGTTATCAGTCTGCTTCTATCGTGGTACTTGTACTGACCTTTGAAGTTAGAGATTTTGTCTCACAATCCTGTTAGTCATCAAGAGATGGGAGCGGGGCGTAAGTTTGATAACGAACTGGCTTTCGTGATAGTTTATTTGTACAGAACCTCGTGTATTTTAAGGTCGAGGTTTCCATATCCCTGGTTGTTAGCTACTTGCAAAGAGAGTCCTGTGATTGCTGGTCTGAAGTTATTTGTACATCAAATACCATTACTTGGTAAGTAGTAATAATTCAGTATTATTTGCCTCAATCAGCTACGCACACTCTGTGGTCACCATGCTTCACTCTCGGTTTGTAAGTTTTAAAAAATTTAGCATTTTGTAGTTTTCGTGGAAAAGCCCTTTCGTTTTATGGGTCGTTCATGAATCTTTTATACGATTCGACCATCAATTGTCCCATACTGCTTATTGAGACAAATATTTTTATTGAACTCGACTTCTCCTCATCAGACCACTTCATTAGTTTTAAAACAAGGCAGTGTTATGGACGTGCTCTTTTTTAACAATTTCATAATGGAGAAGACATATCTGGATACAAATGGCATTATATACGTTTTCTGTTTCTTGGGAAGTTATACATATTGCCGTTTATGTACATATCATGGCAAATTCCGGCAGGCACTGTTCAGGCTATTTGTACTCCTGACGTTTTGGTTCAGTGCATTCGCTTGTAAGTGATCATCCATGTGCTGTGACACATCAAACCTAGCCACAAATGGTTTGACATTGTGACGGACTTGGATGTAAGTAAAATATAATAATGACTTTGAGAATAAGTAGGACAATAACTAAAAAGAAGTAAAGATTTCAGGATATCTCCTGGTGACTGTTTACTGGTTGCTGTATCTACATCAGGAGTTCTAGACTTGTGCTTTACGAGTCACAGATCCTGCTACTGACTTCTAAGCTGTTTCGTATTGTCGAGTGCAGCATTTTTGGATTATCATGACGTTCCTTATCGCGTCGTGGAGGTCAATCCCGTGGGGAAGAAAGAGTTGAAGTGGTCCGAGTACAAGAAATTGCCAGTTTTGGTGGTGGATGGAGAACAGCTTAATGACTCAACTGGTACGTCTAGAAACTATCATGTGAAAAGCCCACGGAAGCCCTGAGTTTGATCGTAGCATCTGGTTAGCTGAGAGTTGAACATGTCACACGGTTCCTGACTTGTAGATATTTACATCTAGACATTTTATACCTTGGAGTGGGAAGGTTCGTTGAAGCTGTTTAATTTTCGTTGGTATGTATGCGTGAGACCAACAGAGGTCCTTACCAATGACTACAGTTGCAAACTTTTTCATGCACATGCTCCATCTCTCTCCTGCTTGGGGGCTTTTTCTCTTTCTTTCCTTTTCCTTCAGGGGTTTTTTTCCTTGAAACAAATGATTTGATTCGAATGTGAAGTCTCATAATGGTGATTGAAACTTAAATTAATCTGTAGTCCTCAAGTTGATGCTGAAGGAACCAGCCGCCGCCGAAGGAATCCAGAACCAAAATGAAATGAACTCCGTAGTTTTTTTCTACGCGTTCGGATAAAAAGCTCTGCATCAGGCTTACCCGCGTGTCTGGATTTGCAGCTATAATCACGTCTCTCAATTCTCGATTGGGTGCTCCTCCCATGAGTGAAGAACAACGTAAGGAAGAAGATCAGTGGCGCAGGTTAGTACCTCAATGTATCTGTTCGTGGTTCAGGTTTTAAGGTAGTCAGCATCAAAATCTGTCTGCCCGAGTCTGTATAGTGGTTCCAGTTTTTTCCTTATATTAAAGGTTACAATTGTTTCGGCTAAAATGTCATTGTGGTTGTAGGTGGGTAGATGACCATTTGGTGCATCTTTTATCACCTAATATTTATCGATCCACTTCGGAGGCTCTTGAAGCATTCGATTATATTGCTGAAAATGGTATGAAGAAGTCTGGCTTTCTTGGAACACCATTTTTCTTGATATTTCCTGTTCAAATTTGCTTCTCATATCCGGTGGAAGATGGCTCTTGTAAGGCTCGTCGGGAAGACTTATTTCTTTTCATCGATTGGTTTTCTACCAGGTAATTTTTCCACAACAGAGAGGTTCACAGCTAAGTATGTCGGAGCAGCGGCTATGTATTTTATCAGCAAGCGACTGAAGAAGAAGCACAATATTACTGATGAACGCGCAGCTTTATACGAGGCTGCGGAGACATGGATGACAGCACTAGGTGGTCGTCGATTTTTAGGTCAGCACCTTTTCGACGGCGAATTGTTCAAGTTGCCTGAAGTAGAATGCGTTGTAATTTTGAAACCTTCCCCTGAGTCGAACATGCTTGCATCGTTATACATGAATCTGTTCTTGACGGATACAGTCCAGCCTAATAGCTTTGCGTGGTCCTTGCTCCGATCCGTGCAGGAGGTGAGAAGCCAAACCTAGCAGATCTTGCTGTATTTGGTGTTCTCCGTCCCATTAGGCATTTACGAGCAGGCGAAGATATGGTGAAGAACACGAATATTGGAGGTTGGTACAAGAACATGGAGGAAGCTGTCGGTCCATCAAGTAGACTACCATCGAACTTTCAAATGGCTGAAATGGGGAAACCTGTGCAGTCGACTGTCACAAGCTAGCGCAAAGGCCTGCAGTTTTTGCCACTCAGTCTTATTATTGGAGTTTATACCACAAGTTCTTCAAGTCATCAACGCTTTCGTCTACATTCTCTAATAATGCGTGGAAAGAGCTTTCGAGAAGAATGTACCAAAGTTGATTCCCGTCACCGCATCTGTCTACTACTGAGAGCAGACACTTCGGAGAGCGCCAAGCCAATACCGATCTGCAAACGAGAGAAGCCACAGATCCTTCTGTGGCTGTGGGCTGGAACAGTGTTAAAAAGAGTATTCAAAGTCTTTTGTCCGATTGGGGAAAGGGACGAATTTGGTAGTGTTTTCAAGGGTGAGCTAGAGGGTCCGCCTCTAACGCCTACTATACCCTGGATGCTCCAATCCAAGGCTGAAGCTTTTGTACATCAAATATACAACCCTGACCTATTAACTGCTTAGTCTTTTGATCGGCGTTGCTCACAAGAGGATTGGCGCACGGAGAATACTTACAACCATCTAGAACATTTTGGATGTGCCTGTCGTAGAGAGGAGAGGCCACACGGAGATAACAGCGAGAGAAGCAGGTTCGAATTGGTTTGTTTTGGTTTTTGGTTCTTCGACCTCTATGCCTGGCAGTCGTTGTTGTGGAGAGATGAACGTTTTTTCAGCGGAGAGACTTGTGAAAATAAAGTGCTGACAGGTTGTCTTGGTCGTCCGTTCGTGATGGTGAAGTGTACATGCAAGCTGTTGTGAATGTGCAGGCTCTCTATCTGTTCAGTTTGCACAAACTGGTGCGAGCTGAGCGAATTTCATCTGGTATACTATGTGACATTAATATCAGTATCGTCGATGTTATACGGAATTCAGTGAAGACAGAAAGCTCACAGTATCCCAAACTTGAGAGTGAAAATGTGTCTTCTTTCACAAATGTGATGGTAGGCTTCCAGAATCACTTACACTCATGTGTTTTCGAGTACCTCTCAGCCGGCATCGGGGCGTGTGGTCTTCAGATTATGTGATACCCGACAAGTACTAGTGAGTAAAGGTGTTCTTTATTCAGATAATGAGTGTGAAGGCCAAGACCGAATCTAAAACGAAAGAATATGTGTATCATGTTTTGCGGATCGTAGCGAAGTGACCTTTGGTGTTTGCCACTTGAAGGCCATGTGATAGTATCTAGATCAATGTCGCTGTAGGAATTAACTTGTATAGGTACGGCATTTACGCACGATCTATCTATCATGTGATGAAACTAACTTCTCGTAAATACAAATTGTATCAAAGTGTCGATGCTGTTATGAACAGATGAAATATCCTAGTGAAAGAATCATAGTAATTCAAAACTGATTCTAGTCCTATCCATGAACTAGTATCCAGTCAAGTAATATAACAATCAGAAATACATCACATCAAGTTATATCATACTTTCATGTCACAATTATGAACGTAATTTTGATTTACGAGTTACAGTGACATGGAAAATGATTTGGGAAAAAGCTAACTTGCAATTTGATTTTATCCTTGGCGAGGGTAGTTACCTGCATAATACGTAATAAGTACACCTACCTCCGAAATTTCGCACAATATGACCCTTGTTAACTTGTGAATCTGTGCGTGTCTGACAGGGAAAGTAAAGAGTGACTCTTTTTATTTACTTGTGAAAAATATCAACGGGGTACGACAAATCTATGTTGTGCATGAAAAGGCCACATGGGCATCGTATGCATCGAACACCTTAAATGCATCAATTTTTATGAGCATATGATGCATAACACATGCTTGCATTTTGGATATTTATCCAAAAGTTACATTTATACTTCATAATTCACAGGTGAGTGGGCATTACTATAAATGGTTCTGCAAAGTATGCATACTTTGCAGTAATTCTTCTAAAACTTACAACCGTTATGTATTCAACTTTGTCATGTTTATGTGTACATCATTTGTATACAATGTGTGACTTGTGTAAAGTATATGTTTTTTTCTTAAGCTATTGAAGGTAACTTCAAAAAGCTCTTGCGTGCCCTACTTGAAAGAACTTTCTAATGCGAAATCGCGCCAATACTAAACAGAAATTATGTCCATATTGAAATATTGAACATTTTCTCATCAAAATGAGTTTATGATGCCTTAACGTTGATACAAAGGTTGGTACATGAATAAGAATCATAAGAATATATTCTACTTGTTATATTATAAAATTTTATTTTTTTTCAAAAAACGAATTGAGATCTTTTTGTATCGGTAACATAATAAAATTGTAGGGAGCAATTCTCTTAGGATTTTTCAGTCGGATGACCTTTTTTAGCGTACGTTTTTCCCACTACATTCCAGTCTTTGTAACTTAAGTATTGATGAAATACATATGTGAAAATATTTGCATGAAATGCTGAATTTCACCCAGATCACAAAACTAAGGGTAATCTCGATGTGCATCATGAAATGTAAACATACTAAGAGTATATTAAAATTATACTGTTACATTTCTTACATTTCGCAGCATTATTTAATTTGTCTCAATATCATCGTTGTTTAGTCACTAGGTTGAGTAGCTAGTCGTGTGTTTGCTTATTTTACTTCTGTTATGATTGGAAAAAGCAGTGAAATTCAACCAACTGAAGTTTTTCAATGAATAAGTTATTAGTTAAAATTCTGCATAAGGAATTTCCATGTATTTCAATTACTTGTAATTTATATGTGTGTCCACATATAGTACATAAAAAGAGCTTCAATGCTTTATGCGGAGATAAATGATGTTTAATGAAAACTGAATGTGATATTTTTCAATGAATTACAAATCTAAACTAGAAGTGAATTATAATAAATAAATAAATTGGAAATTTTAATGATCAAATCTGAAGGCTTTCTGACTTTTCATATGATTTAAATTTATAAACATTTTAATTATGAATATAGATGTATCACAGTCCATCATAAGAATTAGAAGAATAATTATTTTAATAATGAATGGGTTAGACTCCACTTATCCATGAAAGAATTACGTTTCACATCTTAGATTATATTATAATCTTCCATATTGCAGTGATATCACCTTTCTACTTTATTGTGTAGCATGCTTTATAGTGGCGGGAAAACATCACCTACTGATGTCATACCATATTCACCAATCATATGAAAGGATGAGACATTATACGTTCTTGTGATTCATGCACCATTTGATGCAAATTATTTTCATATTGTATTTTATGTTTTTCTTTACGATACTATGGGTCATAACCACTCATCAAATATAGTATGACGTCTTACCATGAGTTTAATTTACTCGACACTTCTTACCCCCTTCAATCAACATATTCTCAAATCGCTTGAAATCCTCGCTCGAAAACACCATGTCGTCTTTTGCCCAATCCGATTCTCATTGTTCGAGTATTATTATTCGTGCGTGAAGACAGAGCCGGAAAGAAGAACAACATAAAGTAATGTCCGTACTGGTCCAGAGATTCCAGTCTCGTAAGACAAACGGAAAAGAGCACGTACTGCGTCAACGTCCAGCGCCAGACACGTCAACAGACAAGAAGTTCTCACGTGCTGTTAACGTTCTCCACTAGCAAAGCTACGGCTAGGATAGAGGAGCTCGCTCAGGTGCTACTAGCTCCGATGGAGGAGCCCGTCCTCGGTGCCCCCCCGCTTTCCATTGATCCGAAAGAGGAAATCCGGCATATTGCTCATACTTTATCCACGGCCGGATCACGTCAGGCGCGGAATTTCGGGCCCCAGTGTCCCACCATCCGTGCCTCGTCCAAAAGTGGACAGACGGCACCGATGTCAAACTGGCCGGGGAATAGGACTTTTCACCGGGAAGAGCCGGATTTCAAGATTCCGAGCTCGACGCATGAAGCACTTCCGTCCGACCCAACACGTGTCACTGAGATTGCCGCCAACGGCAGCTCCGACCGCTTTTGACCGGCCGTTACGATAGCGCTCCTCTAAGAGCTCCGCGGGACCGAACTCGGTCGCTACGGGACAAAACGGAGGAACTCCTTCATGTGAATCTGGGGCCTCCGAGCGGGAATAGGACTGGGCTCGACAGAACCAGCTTCTTCGGTAAACGAACCGGCATTATGCGGGGAATGAACCGGTGAGCTCTGCCCCGACCGGGGACAACAGGTCGAGTTTCGGACCGTATAGAGACTGACCGGTAGCCAGCCGGTCGGGAAAGGAAAGCCCGTACGTCGAGCGGCGAGTACATGCTCGACGTTGGGTGTCCGAGCGAGTCCCGTCTCATCGCCCCCCCGGGGTAGACGACGTGGGAATGACCGGGCGACCGGCAGACCGTATGAGGAAATGGTCCATGGACGGGAATAAAATGGGTCCCGATCGGGTCGAGGTACGTATAAATTTAGGAGCAGCGCTGAAATGTGTCAGCGCAAGCGACAGAGAGGGAGGAGAGGGGAGGAGAGGGGAAGAGATTCTCGAGAGGCGAGAGCGAAGACGAGGAGGAGGAGGAGGAGGAGGCTATGGCCATCAGCGACTCTGCTGTAAATGTCAGTGTGGTCAAAGCGAATTGCCGTGTTGGGGCCAAATTTCACACGCTTGTGCAGGGGCGCGGTGACCTGCGGGCATCATCATTATGGAATTCACCGTTTTTCCTGTTGCGTGAGGAGAAGGAGGAGAAATTGGTTTTTACTCCGTCAGTTGGTGGTTGTGCACTCGCTGCACGTCCGACGGAGCTCCGCTTCGTTTTTAGAGTTTTGTCGTCGTGGTTTGCTCCTCTTGTTGTTGTCCCCGTGACAGGGAGCCCGTCTCCCTTTCTGGCGCCCATGTGGTATTGTTCGCCTCTCCTCTCCTCTCCTCGCCTCCCCCTCGCCTTTGCTCTGCCCCCTGCAGCCTCCCCCCCTCCCCTCTCCTGCCCCGTCCCCCTCCTTCCCTCTCTCTGCTCTCTTGTGCTGCCAATCTTGCTTGGGCTTCTCTTCCCTCTCCTTCGTCTTCCCCGTGTTCCAGTGCGTGCGACGACTCCCCGTCTCGAGGAGAATCTGATATCACGTGCTGGGTCACCGCCTCCCCTTCTTCGCCGCAACTTAAGAACTCGATCGGGTTGTAGTCGGTGCTGCCCTTCCGCAGTGTTAGGTTGGAAGCTTGGGAACACTCCCAGCGTGAGAGAGAGAGAGAGAGAGAAAGGGAGAGATTGAACTAAGGTAAAGCACTGTTAGATTTTCGCACCCTGGAGGAGGCTGGCACTGACAGGGAGGGAAGGGAAGGGAAGGGAATGTCAGGGAAGTTAAGCTTATAGTGCTTGCTGTTTGTGTCTGTCTTCGCCCATTGTGAACTTCCGCGCTGCAGACGCGGAAAGGATTTTTGTTCCCTTCCGAGAGTCGATCCGCTGAAATATGGTGCGGAGATGACCTGCGGATTGTTTTCTCCTTTTTGCTGCCCGTCGATTGCTCGATCGATCTCTTGTCGCCCTGAACGGCAGCCCGTAGTGTCGATACGGTCCATTGTTACCAATTCCGCCCAGGGTTTGTTACTGTTTCGTTAAATCATTAACATGCCTTATGTTCTATGTGAATAAAATTGTCATGAGTTTCAATTGACCCGAAGAAGTTTGCTGGTGTCTTCTTGTCAAAGCCTGTTGCCGGCTCGTGGAAGTTTTGATCAAGAGTATTCCACCACCTGCATCTTTGAGGAGAGCTGCTTGCTTTGCCAACTTTCCTCGCTTGCTCGGACAGCTGGTTGTGTGTCGGGGTATGGGAAATCTCAATTCCCCTTTTTTTGGCAATATTTTATACATTGCTGGCCAGTGTGGAGTGCTGGATTTATCGGATTTGTGGTTTGTAAACTTTAGTGCCTGTATATACCAGTCAGCTCGGCAATCACTCCTCATTTTCATCTCTTAGTCCGTGTGATGGGCTAGGTTGATCGAAATAGTTTCCGCATCGATGAGATTACTTTAATTTTGACAGTCCAGTTGGACATTCTCTTCGTGTTGGAACACTGTATTCCTTGCGAAAGAAAATGGCTTTCCGAGTTTGAATCTGTGAACTTCTTGTACCTTTTTAATGGTCTTTAACGTAAAATTTGGGACCTCTTAGCTCAGTAGCGACTGAAAAGGCACCTGGAAGAAGGGAGACACTTGTAATGGGATGGAGTTCCCCTTAGTTAAACTTAAACTTGAATGAAGTTCCGAATTTGTTACCACCATCCACTTAATTATATTCAAGCTCAATCGCAATATGTGGGCAGGCAAAGCGTAGAGCGAGGCTCAGAGCGAGCCTTTAAGCGAGGCTTTGAGAGTAAAGCTGCGAAGGTGGGGTTGCTTCATCGAGCTGATGAGCAAGCGGGTGCACTGCTCATGTAAGTAGTGGTGTCCCGTGTCTCTGTGATCGTTATCCCCGCAAACAGACCAATGGTATTCCTCACATCAAGAGTATTGGAGCAGGTAGTTGAATTACATACTTATGTATATCGAGCCTATGTTTTATTACAATGATCGCTCGACTGAGTTGAAAGTCCAAAATGAGGCGGCTGGAGCGTATCGTTGTTTCATGGTTAACTTTGTATTTACTGTCTTCTCACGGCTGGTTCGGGTTCTACAGGTTGCCCGCATATACCTGGAAACCAGGCAAAGGGCGAATGGCTTCCATGGAAAGGTTCCTCACGGGGGGCAATTTAGAATTCTCGCCAGGTACATGTCGACAATTGGCTTTGATTGCATACTTGTCCCTCATACTTGCGGATGCCGGTTAATGTGATAGAGGCCGCGGTGGAGATCTCATTTGCACTGCAATTCGATTAGTTGTCTAATGTTTTCCTAAGAGAGGTGTTTCATCCTCGTCATGCATAGATTTGCAAGTCTCATTACAGGGTCCGTGCCAGCGACTGCGGTTTTCCGAAAATTGGCGCCAGTTTTATCGAGGGTTCATTGATCAAATTGTGCTCATTGGGGCTAGTGTCTCATTGTCTAAAATTTGAACCGCAATTGCTCCATGGCAGAGGAGGTTGCTCGTGAGAACGAAGCAGTGAAGACCGTTCAAAAAGAAATGAACGAAGCAGATGAATTCAATCTTCTTGAAGAAGAAGGTGGGAGGCAGCTTGGAGAATCTCTTTCACTCTTTCGATCTTTCAGATGTCCATTAAGATCTTTACATCCCACGATCATGTATTTCATCCTCCGCACGTCTTTGTGTCTCAGATATGCATGTTTTTGATCGGGAGCCACTCGCAGATCGTTTACCTCTGGTAAGGTACAAGTCCCTGGGTCTGATGTACTTTCGGAGAAATTTGTTGAGATCTTCATAGCAGTATTTGTTCTGGACTGGAAATTGATCTTGTATTAAGCTACTTGGTGTCCGTCGAGTGAACCACACACCAAGTCGCAAAAAGTCACGAGTTCTTTCTCTAACTCTAATGCGTCTTTTTCCTTTCAGGTTTCTTGCAACTCATGCAAGAAGCCCATCAAAGCCAGCCATTTTGCAGCGCATGCAGGTATCTATTGCCACCAGTTTACAACAAATTAGCTTCGATTACTTTCGATTGGACTACTTGTTTAGCTTATATTGGTTGGGAATTGATGCTCTAACGAAGTGGTATATCCGGAGCATATGTATTCGTAAGTTAATCTGTTTACAGTAGTCGGTTGTCAGTTGTTTCTTCCTGAGACAGCAACTGTGGTTATTTTGATAAACAATCTAATGAGATGTGATGTAATAGAGCGGTGTAGGTCGATGACTGCCTCTGAGGACACAGTTGCTGAACTTGATGGTGGTGCTAACCACAAGAAGCCTCCTCGGAAAGCAAGGAAGAAGCTTCTTAATGCTCAAGACAGTATCCTGCACAATTTCCCGAATAATCCCAGACGACTGGCCTGATTAGTCAATCAGAGATTTCTGTATTTTAAGTGTGGTGCCCTTCATACGGTCTTTCAGATCTATATTTACAACCAAGATGTTGCTTTTGAAATTCTCTGTATGCGTTACATATCTTTCTGCAAGCTGTTTTGATCTGCACTGATTCCTCAATAATAGACCTTCCTCAGATGCTACCAGTGTAGGAGATCGAGATAGACTCCAAGCTATGGACAACGATGATGTTGCAATCCCAGATTCCGTGGGTACATCTGCAGGTGCTTTGGATGAGCAAGCTACTGGTCGAACTGGGTTTAGTAAGTCAAGAGGGCAGAAAAGTAAGCATCTTGCTTGCTTCGAAAATTATTATATCTAGAAAAGTCTTCTCTTGATACATCGCCAAAAGTTTATGAATGATCTTGAAGCTATTTCAATTAGGCGGACAAGTGCCTTGATTACATGAAGGAACATGGGCACGTCGCTTAGCTGATGATATCTAATATATGTACAGGAGTAATGAATATTGGAGAAGGGACCGTTGTGAATGCCCCTAAATTTGGAAAATCTCGTAAGCCTTCCATTCCCAACAGTTTAGAGGAGATGTCATTTTTTGTTGCTTTGTTTTTTAGGGTGATCATCTAGGCCAGGTCTCTGCTCTACCATGTCTAGGATTTTGTCACGACGCTCGGTGTGAACATTCGCACAGGTCCGCTGGTACGGCGCCCGATGGTTTCTAGATCTCCGCGCACGAAGACTATATCCCCCCATTGAAAAATGTAGGATTTTTCATTGGGGGATATAGTCTTCGTGATTTTGATAATATAGATGATGAGAAGTCACTTCTAATATTTATTATCAAGTGTGACTCTCTATGAGGTTTTTATTTTAATGATTTATTCTCTTCCTTGCAGGTGTTATTAGTGGAGTCGACGAGGGATCCGGAGTAGCGACTGGATCAATTAGCAACCCGTAAGTAAATCATCTTGGGTGGTATACTTAATTGAGTTTGTTGAGTACACGTTCATCCACTTTAGTTTTCCTCTACGTCATCGCCTTGTATTTTTTTTATCCCTGTTACTGTTGGACAAGAAAGTCTGAGTAGCAGTTTCAGTTGCAGGTTTTCTAGTGCAGACCTGGATGTGCTATGTGGGGTCTACCTCGACCAAGGAGCTCGGTGTCGGCACTATTTAACCTGTACTTATCTTTGCACCTCAATTTTTGTTTTCTATTCTCTTTTTCGTGGAATTCTAATACTTGCGGGATGATCTCTCTCGCTTGCGAATGAAGGTGATTGTACCTGTACTTATCGTTGCACTTCAAGTTTTGTTTTGTTTTCTTTTTTTTCGGGGAATGCAAATACTTGCGGGATGGTCTCTCTTGCTTGCGAATAAAGGTGATTGTACGTTTGTTATCCGCCTATGTGTATGCCTAGATTGTACATATCTCTGACGTATGGGTGGACTTATCTCTACGAATTTTGAATATATTGGCTAATATATCAACAAATTGGAAATGTCAGCTTGTCTTCCTAATGTAAAGGACCATAAGATTCTATTCAGGCTAACATCTAGGCAGTAGACTAAATGACCTAAATTAACTCAATGTAGTCTCGTCATGAACGTTAATGTAGCCTAATACAGGCGGCGGTTAGTTTCCCACGAAGAAACCCTTCCAAATGTCACGCATGGCAATGCAACTCCGGGTGGAGACCTAGTATAAGAGTGCCAACATTATTTCCTCTTTTGCAGGACAGAAACTTGTTCACACAAAAAAAAACTGTATCTATATTTACAAACCATCTCATAAATTATATTTAGCGCTACACTGAGGAGAGTTACCGTCTAAGCCATCCTGATTGCTGGAAATGCCGTTAGTATTTCTTATAAAAAAGCTCCGTAAGAGAGCAATGGAATTTACCACTTCTTGTGGTAAGTCTACGACGGGGCAAAATCATGAAGTTTTACATGCAATTTTACACAACGCAGAGTTTTCACATCTCAGATAGATGTGCTTCCAAACATTCCATCCACATCGTGCACCCACATTGCACCATCTTTCCTACGAACTAGTCTATAGGATTTAAGATTCACCTGACGAGCTGGAAGCTTGTCTTTAGTTGCTTGTTCATTTAGTTGGGTCACGAGTGCACATCAAACATCTATCGTTTGCGTTCTCCAGAGAGACGTGAAGTTCCCTTTGCACATCCTGCCCTGCACTGAGTTGAGATAGAAGTGAAATTACCTTTAGACATACTCTACGATCTCCTTTGGAACCAAATCCTGGTTCTGTTCAATTTGAATCACATCACTTGTCCTCCTGCCCAGCACTGAGTTCGAGTAGCCTCTTGCTTCCACTTTGCGCAATTGCTACTAGTATCCTCTCCCTAAGTTCACTAACGGGCAATGTAACTAACTGTCAATGGAGAAAGTTTACGTTCACGGCCAGCATCAGTTTAGGCGCCAAAGCGAGATTACATTTAGGTAATTTAGGCGCTATTTGATAAGTTCGCTTAAATTAAGCATGCTTCGGTCTGGTTAGTCTAGTTCTGCGACTAAATTAAGCTAATTTAGCCGCACGAGGAGGAGACCTTCATTTAGGCTTAGTTTAGGCGGTGTGCATATGTGAGATTTCTTAAGCATTTAGAGGCCAACAGACCTTTAGTTCAGTTCCTACCAGGTTTTAAGTCACCCTGTTTAGAAATCATTCTCTGGATTTTCCTTTCTGTGCAATATTACAATGCTGTTCTCCGGAACTTACAGTACCCCAATATGATTTCTGTGATTATCAGCAATCCACCTCTACGAAGGAACTCTAATTTGCCATCCGAAGAAACGTTATCCATGACCAGGGGTATAATAGTCACTCGCCTAAATTACCCTAAATTTCCTAAATACGGTTAATTTAGTCTCCTAAAAAAAATTTAATTTAGTGTACTCAAAAACGTTAATTTAGGCTAATTTAACCCAAATTTTTTTTATTCAGGCTAATTTAGTCTCCTAATTTTTATTTTAAAAAGATTACATCAAATTCAAAAAAACTTATAACAAATAAATTAAAAAATCCTTCAATTTTGCATAGGTGTCGCCTCCCCATTGGTTGCAACATGTAGGCGCCAAATCACACCCACATTAATTTAGGCGCTTAATCACCAGATAGTTTAGGCAATGTATTAGGCAATGTAAGTTTAGGTAATATAGTTCGCCTAATACAACCGGTTAAGTCAATAGTCTATGACTTAACCGTTCAGTTTATCTCCATGAAATCCAGCACCTTTATTTGTCTAAATCCGCCGGCTCGGGTGCACATAGGACATGGCCTTGAATCTTCTTAATAATCCTCTAGGAACAGTTTTGGTTCTCTGGAAATTCTTAATGTGTAAACTTAGTTACAATCAAGGACGCACGTGTATTTTTTCATAATATCTTCATCGGCATGTTTCACTCTCAAAGGGAAGTCATTTGCACGCCTTGCAAGCGACAGAATACCTCCCACTCCCCTCAATAACCAACCTCGCAACTCACCACATCCCCTCTTACACTGTAATGGAGTTCAATATCCATTCGATTCATAAACGCTAGTGCTTGCATTGGGCTGTTCAGAGAAACGTTTTGGTGGCATCTGATATGCCTGGTCTAATATGCCCCAGGTTTTTTTAAAGATTTTGATAGAAACTGAACGTGGATGATTTTGTGTCTAGCATATCCACTGTCTCCAGAAGATGCTGGTACCTTGTAATTGTAGAGTATAGATGTCTGCGTAAATGAAGGGTAGAATAAGTAGGCGCACCCGCGTAGTCTAGTTTAGGCAGGTTAGGCGTCTCAGCATACGATCGCCTACACTAAACAGGCCGGAGCATGCCTGATTATATTTGTCAAGTACCTCAAACAACGGGAATGATGTTTGTTAAATTCCTTCTTTACAGTAGAACTCTGATGTACTACGCCGATATTGACTATCAAGCTCTAGGATGTATTTATGATAGCGGTAGGTACTTTATCAGCTTGAAGTGACTGAAGATAAGAGCCGGTTGGCAAGAAGTATAGTAACTCCAGAGTATAGTAACTCTTAAGGATGTCACTGCCTAAGGAGCCAGTTATATTTTTCGCTTAATTGTGTACAAGGTACACAATTAAGGGGGATAAAGAGATCTTGAGGGTAGAGAGAGCATTTTCATATTCTTTGTTAATTATGCCCCTGCAGCTGTAGGATCTTCGCCTGCTTTACTTTCTGACTACCGTTACGATAGTTGTTAACATTTCTCTTCCAGTCTCATCGTTCGTTCACTGTCCGTTGAGTGTTTGTACTTGGTCATTTTATCCATAACTCCTGTTTCTCTGTTCCATTCAAGCTGTGTCGGGCTTGGCTTGGATTGTCTTCAAGATTTTTTGAAGACCGTTATCTTTTTTGCTTCACATGCAACTCATCTATCATATCTGTAATCTACAAGCCACAAGATGTCTTTAGTGTACTTGGTCCTATTTTTGTTGCTGGCGTGTTGAGTACTTGTACTGAGTACTCATGGTGCCGAATACATTTCATTTGTGCAAGGAAATTAGTGTGAGGAAATGATATGAAGGATTATATTTTTACTCTCTTTGTTGCTTCTTAAGGTAAGGTGCATTCGGAGTCCAGTAAACGAGCAGTAACTGGTCGGCGGCGGCCTTATGACATATTACTTCAGGAGTTGAAGGCAAGCCATAACAGACTGAGGAGCAGCAAGGTACATGAATCGGGTAGGTAGCCGTTGGTGAGTAACGCCAGCTTTTTATCTGACCTCCTTTTCCTTGCATCACCGTCGGATTTAAGCTGAAGTCATGCCACAGAGAAAGCCGTTTGAAAAAATAAGATTTAAAGGCTTCAATGAGTGGAGAATGGCGACCTACGGACATCCATCAAAGAGAAACAGAGAAAGGCCCATCCTAAAGGCCAACAATGAACCCCCGCCTGAAAGCAAAAGCGGATGAGAGGGTCATTTGATTAATTCATACTAATATCTCGTACGGCACGTCAGCTTCTCCTAAACATAAATCGCAAGATTAGCGATAGTTGAAGGCTTGTCTGAACGCGCATCACCCACCAAATAATCTGTCGCTTAAGCTAATGCCTTTGTCGTTTTTTTGTTCCCTTTGGTGCAATGTTTCAGAAGTTGGTCCTTTGCCAATGGCAACGAAAATCTACTATCTGCGTCACAAACAGCGTCTCAGAGGTATTATTGGAAGTCTTTATTATGAAGCCTGTGCCCGGGAGTCCAGCCCGGGCACTAGTCCAAATTCTTTCTCCAGTGAACAAGGAGCCCCATCAGCTACGCCACCTGCACTTTCATTAGACAACTGTGGATTGGAAGTTACGCAACAGCTGGATGGCCTGCAGCAAACGGCTCCTCCTCCTGCATCTGCCAAAAAGGTTCGTCGAATATAAGAGTCATAAAAAATAATACCACCGCTTATGATGTCTTCATTATTCATCTTATTGCTGTTCTTTTGTACTGCATGGTGTTTCTGCCTTTCGTTTGGTCGATCTAACGAAAGTAATACATTTTCGTATCGAAGAACCTGATGACTAGATTTCACAAGTGCTTGATAGGTTGTTAAATTGTTAAATTTTTTGTCGTGCTTCGTGACTCACAACTTACAATGCTCAACATGACCAACAAAACACGAAGCTGTGTTCACAGATGAGAAACCGGGTATTGTTCTGTAAATTCAAACGCCATGCAACACATACTCTCCGAGATTCCACTCAAGAGGCTTTCGTCTGCGCAGATGCAAAATGGAAGGGTAATTATGGAAGGACATCCATCCCAGATTATGGATCAGACTAGAGGACATCCTGGTGGAGTTGAGTCCATACCTGGGAGTCAACCTTCAGATAGTACGTACTTCATTGGTGGAGGAATGCCGCAGATGGGGCAGTATGTTTACGGGAAAGGGCGTTCTTCTTCTCCTTTACTGGGCGTTGGTAACGGAGGTAACTTTCTTTAGTGGACAAGAACATTTTATGCAGTCTTCTGTGCTTCTTCTTCCAGGATAAAGGTTACCAAAGGGTGTACTTGAGGAGCTTATGGTCTGTTATTTGCATACTGTCAGATGGTTTTACAGGCTGTGAATTTGCTATTCTCCTTTTTTATCATGTATATATGGTAGAAACATATCTTAGGCTAATTGCTGATCGTCATAAAGACGGTGAGAGCATGTACACAAATCCTTATATGTAGAGGAATTTGACTCATCGACCTTATCAGTGCTGCAGGGGTTGCTGTAAATACAAAGCTACAACCTCCTTTTGGAGGTGTTTCTGTTACTTAGTACCCTGGACTTTCACCAGAAAGGGTACGAACTTGCTTCAGCAGAAGATCTCCCCAATATGATCGATGTGTTAACTCTCAGCTGTTCGTTTAACTATTTGGCTCTAGAAGTTCTTGAGTTGATCTTCTTTTGTCTGGAACAGTGTGCAGAGTTGTACCTGAGCGTGGTGCATGCTCGTTGTGTAGGAGTTGGGCAGATTTAATATCTTAGAAATCGAGTTGTGGCTAGGTTAGTAAGAACATTCATGATTGTGATGTACAATAAGACGCCAGGATTGTCCATAGCGAGATCAGGTAATACTGCAGTTTTTCCAGTACACGGAGAGCAGGTAGACGGCAGTAGTTGTAGAGTTTTTGAACTGGCTTTACTTCCCGTAAATTGTCAGGAAGTTGAAGACATAAGGCTTGTAGTACTTAACGCACTTCAAGTATGGTGCATTTGTACTCTGTCGTGTAATCTTATTGACAATCACAAAAGAATTGTTGCTGTGGAGCGTTGCAAGTTATTTGCATGATCGAATGATATCCACTTTGGACGACTTGACATTTATGTGTAAAGTCGTTATCTCGCTTCCTTTGCAGTACGCAACACTGAGCGTTTATCTTATTGAGCAAACATGAATTTGCTACAGTTGAATGCCATATAATGGAACTCAAATCTTGTTTGTTCCGAAATCTGATCAACGAATCTCAATGTGCGCAAAGCATATTTGGAATCTGTTGGGATATCGGTGAGATGCAAACTGCAGTGTATGAGTCTCCCTTGCAAGTGGTGGTTGGAAGTGGTTACCACTGCTCACTTTTCAGCAAATATCCTCTTTTAACGGTCTATCTAGTGCTACCAACTGAAAATACACTGTGTTGACGGTAACTGTAGTAAATGAAATCCAAAATGTTCGTATTTTCGAATTGAACCAAGAGAATCACATGCACCTATTATAATTCGCTGGAAACTACTGTGTCCGAGTAGCCACATGTTGCCACATGAACCACTCCATCCTTGTATATACTGTAGACAGGTCACTTGCAGATTTTACGGATGAGGTCTGTGTGAAAAGAAATGAAAAGAAAAAGGTCGGATGAGGTCCATTTTTCTGATTCCGTCGTTTAGAAGTATGTTAAATTTCTCCGGTATGTTTGTGTTTTGGAATTAAAACATTCATAAACAAAATTTTCGTGAAATATTTGATATTGAATAGTTTTAAGTTCATGATGGCAAGAATGAAAATGATGTCATATATGAAAAATTATAAGATGCCAAAAAACTCCATCTAAACCCGAATCTCTGGAGAAACCATAAAAGTTTCAAACACCGCAGTGTGTTTAGATATCCCTTCAACCATAATATCACTTTTGTATAAGATGTTGAAATTATGATGAAATTTGATTTGACTAGTGAAATTTTTTTTTCCCTAATTTTGTTCACAAGCATTTCGTGAATACAAACACTATATATGTGTGGAAATTTAGATTTTCATCAGAAGAACAACTAATATTCTCTAGTCATTATTCTACCCCTGTCTTTTCGAAATGGTTCAAAAAATATCGAGCATTCTGTTGGCCTATTTTCTGCAGCAATGTAGATAGTTTCCAAAGAAATTTATTTGCATGCTTTCTAAATTGTGGCAAGAGAAGGTATTATTGCAAATTAGCCTCTTTTTATTTGATGCAATAAAGCTGGAGTCCTTACTATAGACATATATTATATAGAATGATGTTTCTCCATCGATTAATTGTTATCCTGCCACCCTTCTTTAGACACGGTTGGTGGAAGGCGTCATCTACAACATCCGCAGACATCGTGACCTGTTTTGATTTTAACCCTTGGTGAGAATATGCTTTCCTGACCATCGGTAGCAATGACATTCAAATCCAAAAGGAAAAAGAATGAAGACTTTGCACTTTACTGGCCACAGCCAGAAAAATATCCAAAGCTTATTCGCTCAGGTTCAATTAGTCTACGTATCACAGCTGTGTACTTCACAAGCTTGCAGAGTAGAAAATATACCAGAAATTTACTTACAAGGCCGGATTCGACCGTTGAAGGAACCTTTATAAAGGAGCAGGATCTCCTGCGCCATGTCACGGGCTCGTCAGATCTGGGCACGTCATCAGTGGGACTTTTGCCAGTTATGGGTTCGGGGAGAGAACCGTTGGAATGAATTCGAAAAGAACTGGATCTGTGACAGGAAGTACAGACATGCTTGTCTGTCGTGGCCGCATGCCACGCGTCGGACATACGATGCATCCATCTGACTTGCATGATCGAGTTCGCGTTACTTCGTACTCACATACATTCACGTAATACTTCGCGTTGGCCCTATGATACCGAATGACCGTAGAGAATAACATATAAATTATATGATATAATTAGTCATGAGTCGCACAGAACCCACACTTGAGGTACTGTACCATCCTAAATCACTTCACTTCAGTCTGCGCAATCCCATTCTCGAACACAAGTATAGTACATTAGTATGGTACAAAAATTGTAACTGAGTATATTTTAAAAAGTTGTACAATTTGATGATTGAGATTTAATACAATCATATCTGTTTATATACCTTGGGGCCTAGCGTCTAGACGCCAAATTGTTCGAATTTTTGCTCTACTACTCGCTACTTCCGGCGGGAGGGTTTATGTATGGGGATAGATTATCTTGCTCTTTCCCTCTTTTTTCTTTTTCCTTTTGGTACCTCTTTCTTACATGAGATCTCTTTTTGTCACACTAATCCCGGAAAATTAAATGGACGTGAATATTCTAAGGTTTATTTTTCCCACCCTCCTGTGGAATTTTAAGTTTGTACAGTTACTCTAGGGTTCTGTAGAAGTTGGGACCGAGTTTTTCATGATGTACTGAGTGTGCCTCTAAATGGGATGAATTATGATGATGTTTTCTCGGCAGAAATAATTGAATATTATAATCGTTTTTCTCCAGCAACCCTAGTTGAAGGGTCGAACTCTACTACACGAGGTGGACTTCGCATTTTTGTGGCATATTATGACGTCTGTGAGCATTACGTGGAACGTAAATGTAAATTGGCCAATCACACCAATTAAAAGGGTTGAGCTATTCTCCTTGCAAGTAATCATTGACTCAAACATGCTTGAAAAGAGCATGAATATTGTATGAGCTTCTCTTCCACACCTGCATGCCACTTGGGCACAATCCACGATATCATTTCCATCTCTTGGGGATGACTTACATGCCACTTGGTCACAGTCCAGAGTATAAACGGTGGAGATTGCAAGTTAATTGCCATCCTATGGCTGTAAAGATAGACCTCCTCAATCTTAAACATGTTCAAAATTTGGATATGATGAGATAAAATAACAAGAAATGTATTTTTTCCTTTGTGCATGATAACCTTAATTTATATTTGATTATGGTGATAATTTTATTCATGATGCACCGACAAAAAAATTGCATTATGAAAATGAATCGATAAAAGTCATAATCTTCAGTCGTCGATATATTGAAATGATATGTTTTAAATGCAGATAGTGGTTCAAATTGTCACCACTTTCTGTAATCATTATGAAAGTCAATTGTTTGTACTTGATGATAAATCAAAGCTTATTATGATTATTACGAAAAGAATTCCCAAATTGCCCGAGTCATTCCACAATAGAAGCAAACCTTAAGAGGCTCCTCCTATCAGATCGCTGGCCATGCGCGAGTACATGTCTTAATGGCTGAAGCTTCAGTCATAAATCAGAATTCATTTTGAAAATCCAACCAGCTGTGTTTTCCTAGTGACCTTTGGTCTTCAGTCAGACGCCAGGTGGATGTCACGAAAAGACCAAAGAGGATCGGAGATGATTTTCCGTTGCCAGACTGACTTCAAAAGCTAGGCTTCAAGAGCAAAATATTACTACATCCAAAGGAAGTCCAACGATCAAGGGCTCAGAGGACTTTACTTCACGCAGTGGAGACTTCTACTTTGTCTTGGCCCGAAGTAGGCTTACTAAAGGTCAAGTTCTGTGACCTAAGTAATGGCTGCGCATGTGGGATGGATGGGTCAGGAAGAGGACAGATAATAGATTTAACAAGCGAAAGTGTAGTTTGAAATGGGGTTGCCACATTAGGTCCAGTAGAGGAGCGTCCCATCCCATCGCTTCTACACGAAGCGTGTGGCACGGCACAGTCATTTGAAAACTCTCACGGACGCTGCCGAGAGATTTGAACAGAGAAGAGGACGAGCTCGAGAGTGTTGTAGCCCAAGGCGAAGAAGGTGTGCGCTGAGAGAGAGAGAGAGAGAGGGGCTCGCACGCAGAGGGACAGGAGGAGGAGGAGGAGGAGGAGAGACGACGCGGATCGTGCTGAGGCATTTTGCGTGCGGAGACGATTGATTGATTGATTGATTAATCGCGGCGGAGCTCTCTCTATTGAAAACACCGGCGAGAAATCGAGTCGAGTCTATGCCGGGCTCTCGGCTTCGAAGGGGTTATCCCATGGTGCGGATTACGATACCTGCGATGTGATGTGATGTGCGTGTGACTGTTGTGTTTCGATGTTTTAGGTGATTGAGACTCGGGGATGGATAGCTTTGGAGGAATCCTGGCTGTGAGGTTCTAGAAGGGATGCGGGGGGGAATGAGGTCGCTGCGATTGAGTCCATGGAATTTGCGTGAGGAGGTGGTCTAGATAGATGGAAGCTAAGGAATTTTTTTTTTCAGGATGTGAACGGTGACGGGTGGTAGGAGCTGTAGGAGGGAGAGTAGCGATGACAGCGAGGTATATCTGGACTGTTGAATTAAGCAGATGATGCCAAATTTCTGAGGAAATTGGATTTAAGCTCTGTGCTGCCTCTGGAGCTGAGTCTTTTCACTTCTCTGATTCCTCGGGTCAGAGTTGCGTGTTATCGCTCTGGTGACAACTGGATGCCACCATCTTGCGGATGATATGGCTTCCACTTCCCGGAACCGGTCTCGGTCCCGGCAGCGCGCAAGCACTAGCAAAAATGTGACTACAATCAGTCCGGAAAATGAACGTGGGCGCCTGGTGCGTAAGACTTTGTGGATTCAGGGCGTCTGTTCATTTTCGTCGTAGCCCCACTGTCGGGCGAGCGCATCCGCTCTCCTCCCCTCTCTACTTTGTTGTTTGTTCTTAAAACCCTAAGCCCCTAGATCTGGACGGTCCCATTTTCATGGACGTACCTTCCAGGGGCCTGGGGATGTTGTAAGTGTCTAACGGAGTGGGGAGGAGAATTTTGTGTACATCCGTTTTATGCACAATTTATAGTCCCTGTGATAATCGTGACTTCCTGTCAACTCGGCCTTCTGCCTTTTTGTCCTTCGAAAAGAGGGAGGGTCCCATGTTGTATGTATTTCTGATGAAAAACTCTCTTGTGTTTTCTGGCAGGCCGATTTGTGGAAGGAGGCCTTTCCTGTCGGCACAGAGGTATTGCCACTAGCTTTGTCGTTTCAGACCTCCAGGATGCTACCGTAGTCGTAGTAGCCATTGAATATAATTTCTGGTTGGACATCTTTTGCTCGGTCGCCATCAGACCTTCAGCTCTCCATGCGAGGCATTTGCAATCTCATAGCGTGTTTCATATCACTGATGCCTAACGCGTCAATCCTGTTCTTACACGTCTGCATGAACGAACAGCATCTGCCTGACGCATCCATATTGGAGTTATGATTTTGACTGTGCTCTTAGATCCCTAATGCAAAGCTCTCCTGAAGAGTCTAACTAAAGATGGAAAGTGAGTAGTTGCATCGATAGTCACTCGAGTTACTTGTAAGCGTTGTTTAATCAATTGTGTTGGACATATGCAGTGGGATCAGTATGATAAGGTTTACGAAATCAACTGGGACTTCAAAAATCTTGAGGTCAGCTCATCTATCCTCATTTTCGCCTTATGTTTGTTTTATCCAATTATGAGCAGGACTGTTGTGGAGTAGTTTTCATCAATTTTCATGAAAGGAATACTGCATCCTTGTTTTACCAAATATTCTTAGTGCCAATTGAGCACAAAACTGACAACTTCGTTCACGCAGAATGCCTTTGAGGATGGAGGGCTGTTATTTGGCAAGAGAGTTTACCTATTTGGTTGCACTGAACGTGAGTTTTTCACTCTAGCAATCAACGTTATGTTTGTGATCTCGACGCATTGAGGGCAGTTCAAGGGGGAGTTTTTCAGTGATGCCAGTTGTTTTTGCTCATTTTCTGTTTAACTTCTCCATGCGATGGCGGTGTTCATTCTGCTTCTCGTCGATCTGCAGCCCAGCTTGTGTGGTTCAAGAATGAAGATGGATCGGACATATCAAGGGTCGTCCACATTCCAGCCGTAGTCGCAGTAATAATTCTTCTCACAATCTCGGAAACTATGTGTGTATGCCAACGCTGAGATGTGCATCTACCTTGTTTATGTAGTAAATCCATTTGGATCGCGGGGAACATGATGAGTTTTACTTTATGAGACGAACAATTTTTCTAATCTTGAAACGCATGTGTCTCAGGTGACATCACCATTCCCTCCTTCAGATAAGGTAGGCATCAAGTCTGTACAAATGGAAGGAGAGATGATCGTACCGATGAAGGAGATGAAAATGGGTTGGATACCGTACATTCCAGAAGACGTAACTGAGTAAGTACTCTTGTTACTATTTATGATCCTTCAACGCAATTGCCTATCGTGTCTTCTTTCGGTGAAGGTGTATGTCGTCTACGCGAAGAACTCATAACGACCTTCTTGCAGGCATACCTCATTGGAGCGATACAAGACACAAATTTTCACCTTGAAATGCACTCAGCGAAGGTTTGGATTCATACGAATTGCTTATTGTTTATTTTCTTGCTAACTGAAAGACCTAGACCTAGCAGCTACTTTGGAGAGAAGTTGCGACTCCGGGCTTTGGAAAATGCATCATACTTATTATGTTTTTGTTTGTGTAGGGCTGCCTTGAAACAGCTGAGACAAGAAAGGATAAAGAAGTACGAATACTGTTTGCCATGTAAGTTGTTCCTTTGAACTCTTCATAGTTTAAAATTTTTATAATATTTTCCGTCGCACGTATGTAGAGTATGTATGTCTCATCAGGGAAGAAAGCTTACTGTGCGATGTATTTTCAGATGCCTTTCACTGACATATGAGGACCCTGTTCATAATCTTGAATGATCTTCTGATCAGAGCAATCTAGTCGCATTTTCTCCTCAGCTTTCGATCCCAACTTACGTGAAGTGTTTTATCAGATTTGTATCAGCCACTTAAAGAAGAGGATGTTCAAGAAGACACCATTGTGAATATCATGTATCCTTTCGATGACGAATCGAAGCCACCGGTATGCATGCTTCACCAGTATGAGTTTTACATGCATGTTCTGCCACAGTTTGGTGGGAATTTTTTAACAGATTCGGCAGAACCCCCACCTTTGGTATCCTAATCCAAAAGCTCATTTCGTTTTGTAGGTGGTTGCTGAATATGATTGGCAATTCGATGAATACGAGGTATCGATCTTGGCGCCTCTTTGGGACGTATTAAGCATAGAGGGTCTCAACATCCTGTTAAAGAAATAATTGGTTGAAATCTATCTTTTGGTACTGACATTGCTTGTCCACAAATTACTACAGGTCTGGAGTGTCCTTAGTGGTTGAAATCAATTTAGTGTCCTAGAGTGGTCAAATCTATTTTTTACTGAACCTTGCGAAAGGAGATGGCATGGGATGGGATCCCCTGTCTAGATGAACATCCCTTGTCCATATGTATGTGTGCATCCTGAAGTATGTTACAAATTTCTCATCGATGCCAGAGTAGAGATGCTGTGTGCACGCGAAGGAGATTGGAACTTGACATACACATGTGCTCGTAACCTCTGGGCCACTTTGCGTTGCTCTGTAGGAAACATCGTTAAACAATTCAACGTTGAAATTCTTGCAGGAATTTTCAGACAATCTTATTGAGGGAGAAGAACTGCCGGCAGAAGAGAAGGAAAAGTTTATGGTAATTAGTGTGATGAGAATGTCATAGTTTCTCTACCTACGTTTTAATGAGTTCAATCACTTCGATTTTAAAAGGTTTTCTCACTTTTGTCCGCCACCTAACTCAGTTCTGGAATATGTAGGCCTATGTGAAGTCACTTGTCATGGCTGAAAAGAAGAAACTGCGAGAAGCTAGAGAAGCGAGGAAAAGGGCTATCGAGGAGATGAGTCAAGAGACAAAGGATGCACTTAAAAACATGCAGTTCTACAAATTCTATCCCGTTAAGACTGATGACACTCCAGACATCTCGGACAAGAAGGTACGACATTTTTTTCCCTCAATATCTGGACATTCTCCTCGCTTCAAAGAATATTTGAGCAAGAAGTCTGGTGACCAAGGGACTGCATTGCAGGCCCTTCTTATTATTGCCGACGTGCTCCTTGTATTCATTTTGTATTGTTGTTATGCAGGCAGCATTCATCAACCGGTATTATGGGAAAGCAAACCAAGTACTTTAGGTCACAAATTTAAGATAGGAATCTATTATTCCGTTGAATGTGTGTTGTCAACTGTCGCTGGCAACTGCATGTATCCTTAGGGACTGTACCAAAGAGTTGAATGTAAGAGCCTAATTGTCTCCGATTAGATTGAATCTGCGGGCGATTGAGTGAGCATACCTTAAGCTACCACCGGTAGCATTTTCGGAGTGTCAGGTGATTCAGATTTTAGCCTTTCCTCCCCCCACTGTGGAGTAGGGGTAGTCAGTAGATGTATGTAATTGACTTGTGTTCAACACTGTCGATAAGTGTTAGGTTTCGCCCTTGCTGACGCAGCTTCTCCACATAGGCTGATTTTTTTTAGGTAACAGAGTTTTGATTCCGACATTGTCCTGTTAGGGATATGGAACAAAGTTGACCGTCAATTCGGCTAGCTTGTCGGCACACTGATCCTGCAATCTGTCTTTGTAGAGCCTTTTGCTTTAGTGAATATTTTTGCTAAAACGAAACGGGTTTGGGAATCCTACTCTTTCTGAATATCATGTTTCAGGGCGATGTATTTCGTATTTTCTCCACTGAATTGGCTTTTCTCTTGTATGTGAGGGTTACCACTAAGTTAGACCGTTAGATACCTAGAATGCAACCTACAACGATTATGGACCTTTCTGTAACGAAGCGTGCAACTTCGAAAAACTCCCGAGCATGTGAAATCTCTTCAGCAGTTGCAAAAAATGCGAATACTTCCAATAGTTTGACAAATACGACAGCAATAACAAACGCGAAGTATACCACCGTGTGGTAAGTTGTTTCTAACAGGGGATTTCTGTGTATAATTTGTAAAGCTATCGCACTCAACACGATCATTCGGAACACTCTTCATCAACGCATTTTGTCGGAATTACACTCGAAAATGAAAAAAGATGCATCTGAACATATCCTTGCATCCTCAATTTTAAGTTTGAACACACTTCGCTCCCGCCAGAAGAGGTCACTCTTCTCATACTCTGCGTACAGTCCCAGGTCGCCAAATATGTCTCGTCCCCTCCTATTCAGAAATTATCAGCTAGTTCTGCCTCAGGAGAAAGTAGCTGAGGACAAATGCCGTCGGCAATCAGGCTCGAATCTTACGCAGGATAGACCTGCAATGACTTCCTGCTGAAGGGTGTAAGGTTAACACATTCTAGGGGGAACATCGGAAAACACTTCTGTTCCGAAATCTGTATAACCTGTCACAGACAGGTACTATCCTCTCAAGAATACTTGTACTCATCCTACGCTACAAAACTCATGTGGTTTGCTGTTAGTAGCCATTGAGATGAAATTGGCCGAACAAAGAGTTCGTATACGAAGCAACGCTCGGCTTCTTCGCATCTGCAAGCACGAGATGGGACACGGGATTGGAGCAAGTTACCGTCGTTCCATTCCCTCTGGCAGTCTGTAGTGTGATCATGTCCCACCGTTACCGCGAACGTCGTCAAGAACTTTTTGAAACCAAATGTCGGGAAGAAACATGAGGCGATGAGCGAATCAGCGCCACATGAGCGAGGTCACTTCCGCAGCTCATGAAAGTGTTGTGATTGCAGTTTTTTGGGGTACTTGGGGCGAGCGAGCGACATTATGCAGAAGCCGGCTGGACCTGTCGATCTTTCGCCCGCCGTGACGACAGTTGCATTCGATCCTATCATCCCACCATTGAGGGTGCCGGTGTCCGCCCGAAACGAAGATGATCCATCGAAAGGCAAGTGGGTCTTGGCCTTCAAAGATGACACCAGTTGGAGGCAAGCGTGGCTCAACAGCGAGGACAAGATTGCTTCTCAATGCGAGGTACCGTCCTGACAGCTCAATGATCAGCATGCCGGGCAATTGTCGCCACTTCAACCCATTTCACCGAATTCTTTATGTCATTCATTCATTACACTACGGAGGCAGTTTCGCAGTCTGTTTCTAGCTGTACAATAAATTTCGACTTGCACATTTTATCGAGAGATTTTGCCGAAAATTTTGCCTCTTCCTTCTCTTCTCCTTTGTACGCTCGTCTTTCGACTACTGATCCGAACTTTCTCACCCGGAATTCTTTATGTTGACAGATGGGTGCCAGAATGGGTTGCTCTATAAGTGCGAGTAATGCCTGCCGGATCCCGTGGTGGAAGAATGTTCTTGTATTCCTGAAAGCCGCTCGAATCGAGGAGGGCGAACGGGAGCGCTGCGAGGAGAACGAAATGGCCGCTTGTGTGGCTGCTTCCAAAGAAAGTTGCTCGACGTATGCCAGAGAAACTTGTGAGCCAGTGTTTGCAAATATGAGAATTGCGGCTCCAGAGGAATCCATAGATCCCAGATTCATGAGACCTTTCCGTCGAAAACGATGGACGAGACACTTGAAGGACATTGTGTCTCCATCTGGAGAAAGTACTGTAGGAAGTGACGAGGATTCAGGATTAGATGGCGGTTTGAAGCTTTCTTCGGATTATAGGCAAAGGGTTTTGGCTGACGAGGAGCATTCTAGAAGTCAGTGGGGAGGTCCTGCTTGGACGGAGGCATTGTCACAGAGTGCAAGTTCATCGGTGGCTGGATCTCCAGCTGAGGGTTGGGAAGGAGGCTTGATCAGGCCAAAGGTCGCTGCTTCCTCTTCGCAAGATGGTTCAGATAATGTACAGGCTACCAATTCATCAAATGTAAACAGTACACAGTGAGGCCTATACTGCCACAGCAAGTTGTCAACATTCGCAGAGTTTCTAGCTGAGCGAGAGGAGCGGAAAAATCGACATTAGAACCTCTGGACATTAGAATAGACATTACCTTTGTCCTACCAATTGTCATACATATTTCACCACTGTCTTTGTCATCAAGAGGTAAACCAATATCTCTTTTTGATCTCCAATATTTTTTAGACTCAGAGTGATGTTGCTGTAGTACTGGTTATTGAGGTGTCTTTGAGAAGAAATCTTCAAATATCATCGTCTGTTTCCTTCTCTTGGACTTACTTAGAAACAACCTTCTACCCTATGCTATAGTATGCGACATTTCATTCATTCTTACTCATGGCAGATTCTACTCGTGGTTCATTCTTTCATTGCTTTGGTATTGACTGAGATTTCCGAAACCTACTGGAGTTGGATTCTGGTTTGTGTTCTGTCGACGCTGAAGTGCTGAAGTGTCGCGTAATGACGAAGAAAACACAGTGTCTGGTGTAATAGTTAGAAGAATACGTGCTCTATGTGCGGAGTACACGAGGATCAGGAATCAGCGTTTTCCTACCCCAATGTCGTTTATCTTTCTAGCAGCTTTCTTTTCGAGAGTTGGAACTTTTCAAGCATTTTGGAATTTTCATGAATCCAATGATATCAAGTTCTGCATCATGCTTCAAGCACTGGTATAGACTCAAGCATTTCTTCCCTTGACACATTTAGTTTGTAGAGCCCTGGTCGAGATACTTCATGAACTGCTGATGATTCACGACACAAAATGATGGCTGTGGTAATGTCATCGCACACATGTCATCGAATGTGCAGATAGATCATCCGAAGAGTACAGTGGATATCACTAAACGCCTGGACCTTCTTTCCATCAATCACTGAAATTGTTCGAAACGTGCATCGAAACTAGTTGCTGCATAAACCGCACTCTAAGCAAATCCAAAGAAAAGAAGAAAGAAAAGTTTGAGCCTCTTACAAGTTCAAACTTCATAATACAAAGTTATTAAACTCTTCATGAGAAGGCTCTTTCCCGCAAGGGTGAGAAATGCATCATTCCACCTCCAGCGTTCGACAGTCTCCGCAGGTATTCGATGTACTGATCAGGACTCAGTGCATTCACCTTCATAAAGGTCGAGTATGTGCTGGATATGCATGGGTATGCATGGATCCAGAGGTGCTGAAATCCACCGTGGCCACCATCTAAAACTCCAGTTTTTGCTGTATACCAGTAAAGATAAAGAATGCGAACTTCGACCAATCATGACTCGGAATTTCGACCAGCAGAATTTCGTGTTTATGTGCAAGAGTGCATAGAGGCGAATGAAAGGTAGAGGACTGACAGAATCAGTTAAGTTCACAATGCACTCAGTTTCCTCTGTTACAGGGAGATCACCAATTCGCCACAAACGAGCCTCATGCCGGCATGACCCGAGAGGGAAGTGAAACACACATCCCCAAAGTCTCTGAAAGACAACTGGACAGCCTGTGAGAGCCTCAGCGTTCTGAAGCATGGCAGAAGAATTGACTGCAGATTATCCAAGGCAATTATTTACAAAAGCAGCAGAATTATATCATTCCTGCCTGCCACCTACTTTGGCCTCATCACATTTTTGGACCTCACAGCATCAGGCGATTTAGCAGGTCAGGTGAAGCTCTCGAATAGCAAAATGATGCAAATCTGACTGTGTCCTTCAGTTCTTCATCTTGACAACTAATTTTTTTTTGTCGCACTTCAGCTTGATGAGAGCCAGATCTAGCAGGCGCTCATCTCTACATGGAAGGAAGGTGCCGTGCATCGTCAGTTCTTACAAGCATATTCGATATAAATCCAAAATCCAAATCCATGCTAGTACCCGGAAGGAGACTGAGGTCTGATGGCTGCATGGATTTAGGGGACAAGTAGTCCATTGGAAACGAAAAGTGGGCACTACGGTAGCCTCCACTTGACTGTGATCTGAATCCGCATGCATCTGCGGAGTTGGTGGGAAAAGGGGAAAGTGTGCACACGTCCAGGTGCAGTGTTCTGGAGCAAATCTATGCGGCCCCCTAGCTCGTGATTTTGCGATTGCCTGCTAAAGGTTGTTTCGGTATGTTCTTCTGATCCGAACACCTGAGAGATGATTCAGGCTGCGACATCTGAATGAGTGATGATGATGAGCATGAGCATGAGCATCTATCCCACTCTCTTTCTTCTTTCGCTCCTCGTTTGACTTCTTGCAGAGTAGCTTTGTTCACGTGACGTGGATGTTGCCATCAGTGATCGGATGTACGATTGATTTGTGCTGGATCCAACTCGATGCCGACTGCTGGGAATCAGGTTTCAAACTGTTCGCGGATGCTCATTTATCCACTTTGGTGTTCCCTTCCCTTCTATAGCCAAATATAACAAAATTCTTTAGTCATTGGACTAAAGCAGTTAAACACTTGATTCCGAGAAAATTCAGATTAAGAAAATCTTAAGAGATAACCCATCTTTCTTGTACCTTTCTTTTTTTCACAACATACATCGAGTTTCAGCTCTTGGTGAAGCAGCCACAATTTTGTTGATTAATGGCCTGAATTAACTTCATCTGATGAACTATTTTCGATGAATCTGCTCATCCAGGTTTGATGGAGTTCTTCGTTGCAAGTGTGTTTTAGCTCAGCTACATGCACCAAAAGGGTGCGAGCAGAAAAAAACTTTAACGATTGAATGCTATGTAAAATGAAATAAATTTGGGGGAAAAAATGATCTTATCAAATTAACTTAAGTATATCAGAGTATTTGATGACAACATGTTATTTTCCTCGCAGTATGAACATGTAGTTTTAAAATATAGGTGGCTTCTGTTATGCTTTTGATTCATTTGATCTGATTTTATAGATGTTGATATTGATTCAAGGTCGTCTTCTTTTCATTCCAAAACTGACTATCATATATTCCTTTTGCTAGCCACTTACGTATCTCTCCATACCTTCATCTTCACAACACTCAACATGGTTACCGAAATTCTAACCTCATGGCCCACAATGGTGATACATGAAGGTCCATCTTTGAGAATCAAACACCACATGTTGTAGAAAACTTTGTATAGGACTTTGTGGCATAAGAAGGGTCATTCCATTCTAGTGCAGTCAGTCATTTTAACCGAGAGGTTTGTTAAATAGTGATTTTTCCAACCAGAATAATTTAGTACCAATCTACATGGCTGCACTTTGAATAACTCGATCATTTTTTCAATTTATCAAAAGCTATGGGTGCTAAGAAAGTACCTTATGAAAGTCCGGTTGTATCTACTCGTTCCTAATAACATCTCGAGCAGATGAGGAAGGATGATAGGATCTCGGTATCAAAACGGCATTTTCGTTTTTAACTAGTTAACTCTCCTATCGTTTTTGGATGATCTCTCATCCAAATGTCATGAACATCAATTTCTGGGCTGGATAGAAGAAACTCATTGTTTGTTTTAGAACAACGTAAACTTGCATGTACTGCAGTGGGCACATGTGTTAAGTCTTCGTGGCCTCAAAGGCCTCGTGACCTTGTGAGCTACATAGTCCGAGGAGTGCAAGAAAGAGATTCAGCAGCTAAAAACATGCTTGAGATCATTGCATGGAGGCTAGAGTCTGGTCATCATAATACCTACCATCTCAGCGATACAGGAATGAGGCAACTCACAAAATGTAAAATCTTGCCGACTATCTTTTCAATTGAATCCAAATGAGAACCAATGGCTCTGCAATTGGTGTCTAGTGTACTAGTCAGCACAGGATGTATTGTCCTGGATGCATGGCAACGGATGAGCTCAAGGAAGCTCTCAGAGATTTCATTATATCTTGTAATATATAATAATGTGTTGATTTCCCAGAGCTCCGTACGGGGTTCGAACTCTGCTGAAGTGTCGCCGGTCGATGGAGATCGCGACTGGTCGAGACAAAACCGTGAGGATAAGGTCGTCCGAGTGACTCAGTTCGCGATGTCCCACAATGTACGTCTCAGGTCTCAGCCGGCTTCGCAGCGTTGCGCTGATCTGTCTGCCGGAGCAGCATGCAAAAGATCTTCTCGACGATTCTGCGCCTCTAGGGCTATCCAAAAGGCACAACTTACCGATGTTCTAAGTCGACGATATCACATTTCCCGGCGAACATATCCATGACCGTGACCAATGCCGTATTGTACGACCGTATCTGGTATTTTTCGGCCGCCGTATGCTGGGAGTCTATCAGGGACATTCGCATAGCATCAAATGACAGGGAACGGAAACTCCGTATACTACAGCGCATGTTTATTTTCTTTGCAATTATAGTGAAGCCAGATTCGGGGAGGTTTTGTTATACAGTTCTGTAGTGCAATATTCTCTGAACAAAGTTGGGTCACGTTTTCCAAGTGGTGGACATATTTCGCAATATATCGTTTCAACATAGTAGTAGATTATCTCAATATTGAAAGATCAATCTTATCATTAGTAAACCTCAATGGAGATGTACAACACAATCCTCAATAGATGGACAACGGAAGAACATAAAGTAGGAGTGACATCTGCTCGATATTAAAAAGAAAAAATTCACTCGAATCAACCTGGAAAATTTTAAGCATTTGTAAATTATCAGTATCTTATATGTTTAAATCTAGAATGAAGTGAATAAGAAAACACTACAAAGTAGAAATGTAATTCAGTAGATTGTCTTCAGATAATTTGTTCCAGAGAATGTCTGAAATATATGCACATGATAAGAAGTAGCAGAACTTTTGTTATACAAAGATTTGGTAAACTAGTTATTAAGTGTTTTGTTCTACATAGCATTACAAAAAGATTTTCAGATGTTTCTGTATTTAGAGAACATTTGAAAAAAAACATACTGATTTTGCTCCAATTTTTTTCTTTCAGGATTCATATTTATTTAAGTTCATAATATGTTTTATCTGAAGTAGTATATGTTCTGACGTACTACTTTAAAAAACATGAATCCCTACATCGTTTAAAGTGAATACGGTAGATTGCTCTTTGCCAAACTAGATACGAAGATTGAAATATGTATTGCAAACAGAGTCAAAGAGGTATTACATGTATATTACATTTGTTTCCAAATTTTCTATTTACATTGTTAACTTTGTCAAGTAGTCTTGCTTATACTTCGTTGTACTAAATTATGTTTATCTCGAAAGATTGAAAGAAAATGACAATGTTCAGATACGGTACTTAGATAGATAATCATATTCAATGTTGTGAGAAATCTTAACAAATTTATTTCAAATTCTGTAGAATGTATGATAGAATGCTATATCATTCATGAACGCAATTCTCAACTAATAGATAGTTTGGGGAAGCATTTGGAACATGATTCGCAGACAGGCAACGGAAGGATATTAATCTCAACACAATCGCATTCTGATCGCCACCGTACCTTTTTCTACTGCCCACAAGCAGTCGGTATAGGAGCCTCACAACACGTACGAAGAAAATTGACAAAAGGAAAGTAGAGGTAAGCCATGTCACAATTAATATACGTAAGTCTGGGTTCTGACTCGAATCCATTGGTGAAGACTAATCCCATCAATCAGAAGTTACAATAAAGTACACCGAAAAGGGTTGTCACATGACAAGTATCCGACGACTATCAAATGCGAATTTAGCAATGAAGGATTTCGAGTTTCGGGAAAATCATCGATGAGGAAATCAGTAGAACACGGACGAAGGTTAGAGCTAAGTAAAAAGGTAATGAAGAGGGGATGTGTCAGGGGGCCACGTGGACTTCGAATATGCGTCGAGAATTTTACAGGCCCACACGAGTTCGGGGCTACAAGCCAAGCCTACGACGGGCATAGAACTCCATCTGAAGAAAACGACAAAACACAGCAGTTGAGGCCCACTTTTCGGCGCACGCTACAGTCGACGCTTTGCATGGTTCAGTCTGTCGCTCGCACTCCGACCACATCGATCTGGCAACCGGCTCGCAACGAACAAGTCTCGCGCACACCACATCGTTCCATGACCATTACATTACGTGCCAGTCGCCGACACCCTGCTACTGCGTACGACCGAGGGCAAGTTACCGCGCAGATCTTACGGGACATGAGGATCTCACGGTGTCACCGATCTCGCCCCTCCTCTCCTCCCGCTGTCCTCGCAGTCTCGCACAACAACTACGACAAAGTTGGAACTGCCCCGGTTCCGCCACGTAGTCCGCCTTAGAACTGGCAGATTCCCGCAGGTACCCTCGTTCTCGCGACTAGGGCCCAAGTCTCAACAGTCGCAATCTGAATTCCGACTTTCGCAAGTCAATGCGGGTTCTCCGAGCATCCGCTCGGCGACAGGAAATCGATCGCGGAAGGGTTCGCGATTCCTTCTGTGAGAGAGTGTGCGTTCGTGCGTGCTTTCTGGGGTTGGTGGGCGAGAGCTGCTGCAGCATTTCAGCGCACTCACTGCGCGATGCGATTGTGAGCGATCGAGCAGGCGGTGCGAGCAACATGACGAAATAGGCGTGCGGATGCGGGGGTGGTCATTTGATCGAGAGCAGGTTCGGAATCCCGGGGCAGAGCAGTCAGACAGGCTTGAATCTGCTTCACGCAGAGGGCCAGATCTTCGCTGGAGGTGCACTGGAGGAGCAGCAGTAGGAAGTCGAAGGTTTAGGGTTTAGTGGGAGGAGGAGGAGGAGGATAGGAAAGGAAGGGAGAAGGGAAGAGGAGGAGGAAGGGAAGGGAGAGGAGTCGAGTTTTGGCTGGTGGTGGTGGTGAGGTGTGTGAGTCTCTGGCGTTGGGAGGTGGACCTGCGACGGGGTTGCGGAAATCTGCCGAGGACAGAGGACAAACATGTTGTCAACGTTGAAATCACAATTCTGGGGATCTCATGGAGTGGTTTCGAGCCGGGTTGAAAGAGGTTCACGCCGTGCAGCAGCAGCAGCAGGAGGAAGTCAGGGATCCGGTGTTTGTTGCCAGCAGCAGAACTCGGATGTTGTGTTCCAGAGGTTGAGCCGAGCTCTCGAGAGGCAGAACGTGCTCGCGCGCTCGAAGAAGACCGAGAGGAAGAGTGCGAAGAGGTGGGAAATTCAAAGTATTTTAGGGGCAGAGAAGCAAGTGGAAGAGGAGGTTGCCTCGACGACGAAGAATGAGGTCGTGCTCCCCAGTGTGGGATCGTGGAGTAGTTTAGGCGTGCGGACTGGGAAGCGCACTGACATCAAGAAAATCTTGATCTTAGGTGCAGGCCCGATTGTCATCGGCCAGGCTTGTGAGTTTGATTACTCCGGGACGCAAGCATGCAAGGCGCTGAAGGAAGAGGGTTACGAGGTGGTTCTCATCAATTCGAACCCTGCAACAATTATGACTGATCCCGAGACAGCGGACCGCACTTACATCACTCCTATGACTCCAGAGCTGGTCGAGAAAGTGCTGGAGAAGGAGAGGCCTGATGCCCTTCTGCCCACAATGGGAGGTCAAACTGCTTTGAACTTGGCGTGTGCTCTGGCCGAGAGCGGAGCTCTGGAGAAGTACAATGTAGAGCTCATAGGGGCCAAACTCGACGCCATTAAGAAGGCGGAAGACAGAGACTTGTTCAAGCAGGCAATGGAGAAGATTGGCGTCAAATCGTCACCTTCTGGAATTGCAACGACTTTGGAGGAATGCTTCAAGATTGCAGAGCAAATAGGCGAGTTCCCACTTATCATCCGCCCTGCCTTTACCCTCGGTGGTACCGGAGGAGGAATTGCATACAACAAGGAGGAGTTCGAGACGATTTGCAAAGCGGGATTGGCCGCCAGTCTCTACTCGCAGGTTCTCGTAGAAAAGTCTCTGCTGGGGTGGAAGGAGTACGAACTTGAAGTTATGAGAGACTTGGCCGACAATGTTGTCATCATCTGCTCAATCGAAAACATCGATCCGATGGGAGTCCACACAGGTGATTCTATCACTGTAGCCCCGGCTCAGACTCTAACTGACAAGGAATTCCAGAGGTTGAGGGACCAAGCTGTGGCCATCATCCGAGAAATTGGCGTGGAGTGTGGGGGTTCGAATGTGCAGTTCGCTGTGAATCCAAAGGACGGAGAGGTCATGGTTATTGAAATGAATCCGCGAGTGTCTCGATCTTCCGCTTTGGCTTCCAAAGCTACTGGATTTCCCATCGCCAAAATGGCAGCAAAGCTGTCTGTTGGCTACACCTTGGATCAAATCCCAAATGACATCACGAGGAAAACCCCTGCCAGCTTTGAGCCTTCTATTGACTACGTTGTCACCAAGGTAATGGATTAGCCAGGAAATTGACTCTCTGCTTGCACTTTCAGTTGAGATCTCATGGCCCTGGGGCGGATGTTTCAGAATTTCTGAATTGATTGTTGAGTCATCTTTGCGAGTAGGTCACAAAGTGCCAGACGGCCTAAGGAAAAGTCAGTTGGAATTTGCGTTGAGAGGGTGTGCTATGTGACGAGTCAACGTCCAGAAATACATACCTACTTGCATTACGCCTCGATCTATCTGCCAACTGATCATATTGTGGTCTGGATCCAGATTCCTCGTTTCGCCTTCGAGAAGTTTCCAGGGTCTCAACCAATTCTGACGACACAAATGAAGTCAGTGGGAGAGGCTATGGCTATGGGTCGTACTTTCCAAGAGTCCTTTCAAAAGGCGATGCGATCGCTGGAGACAGGACACAGCGGGTGGGGTTGTGAAAAGGTGAAAGAACTCGACTGGGACATGGACAAGCTCAGGTACAATTTGAGGGTGCCAAATCCTGAGCGCATGTATGCTCTGTATGCGGCGATGGAGAGGGGCATGACCCAAGAAGAAGTTCATGATCTCAGCTTTATCGATCCATGGTTCTTGAATCAGCTCGGCGAATTGATGGAGTTCGAAAAGTTTTTGAAAACCATGAAGCTCACTGAGCTGAGCAAGCAAGACCTGTACGAAGTGAAGAGGCGTGGTTTCAGTGACAAACAAATCGCGTATGCCACTGGGACCAAAGAGATTGAAGTGCGGGCACACAGAGTGGCAATGGGAGTAGTTCCGGCATATAAAAGAGTGGACACTTGTGCTGCTGAGTTTGAGGCCGACACCCCTTACTTGTACTCTTCTTACGATGATGAATGTGAATCTGCTCCTACGAGCAACAAGAAAGTGTTGATTTTGGGAGGTGGTCCGAACAGGATCGGGCAAGGTATAGAGTTTGACTACTGCTGTTGCCATGCCTCTTTCGCTCTACAGGTAATTTACGACTACAAATTGGATCGATTCGCTGTATTTTATCCGTCTTGCTTTTTGTTCGTTCTGAATTTCTTTTTTCCAATGTGCGAATTGATCACAGTTTGTTGGCGCCAAATCTAATCGCCGTTTTCTGGATCGGTTTGCGAACAAGGTTCACCGAATTATTGGAAATGAATAACTTTTTTTTTTCATATCTTTCTCACTATAGCTCTGATTCGACGGTCGTTCAAGGGCTACCCACCCGCTCCTATACTTCCAACATTTCGTAGATCACGAAAGCGATGGCGAACTAAGAGATGTTGTGATTGCAGGACGCAGGTTATGAAACTATTATGATGAACTCCAATCCGGAGACTGTCTCAACTGACTACGACACGAGTGATCGATTGTACTTCGAACCTCTCACCGTCGAAGATGTTTGTAACGTGATAGATCTCGAGAGGCCTGATGGAATTATTGTTCAGTTCGGAGGGCAAACGCCTCTGAAGCTGGCGCTTCCAATTCAGCGGTATCTCGATACCTTCAAACCGAAGGCTGCGAGTGGAGAGGGTTATGTCAAAATCTGGGGCACCACCCCTGATTCAATTGATGCCGCAGAGGACAGGAAGAGATTCGAGGCCATCCTCAACGAGTTGGGTATCAATCAGCCTCCTGGTGGAATTGCAAGGAGTGAAAAGGATGCCTTGGCAATTTCGAAGCGAGTAGGTTATCCCGTTGTTGTCAGACCTTCTTATGTGCTTGGGGGGAGGGCTATGGAAATAGTGTACAACGATGCCAAGTTGAAGACTTACCTCGAGACAGCCGTGGAAGTTGACCCCGAAAGACCTGTTTTGGTTGACAAGTACCTTACCGATGCTACTGAGATCGATGTCGATTCTCTCACAGATAGCTACGGCAACGTCGTTATCGGAGGAATAATGGAGCACATTGAGCAAGCTGGTGTTCATTCGGGAGACTCGGCCTGCTCCATTCCTACAAAGACCATCAGTGATAAAGCCCTGGCAACTATCCGTGATGCAACTACCAAGCTGGCAAAGAAACTTGGTGTTGTGGGGCTCATGAACTGTCAGTACGCTATTACCCTGAAGGATGAGGTTTACATCATCGAGGCTAATCCGAGGGCTTCCCGTACTGTACCTTTCGTGTCTAAAGCCATCGGTCATCCTCTAGCAAAGTACGCATCCCTCATCATGTCAGGTAGATCTCTTCATGATCTTGGCTTCGAAAACGAGGTTATCCCTAACCATGTATCAGTGAAGGAAGCCGTTTTACCCTTCGATAAATTCCAAGGATGTGATGTCATTCTCGGGCCGGAGATGAGGAGCACAGGAGAAGTAATGGGTATGGACTACGGGTTCGATAAAGCATTTGCCAAAGCGCAGATTGCAGCCAATCAGAGGCTACCTCTTACGGGGACTGTCTTCATCAGTATGAATGATTTGACGAAGGACGGAGTCGTTCCAATTGCCCGCGGATTTCAGGAACTAGGCTTTAAAATCCTAGCGACAGGTGGAACTGCACAGCATCTAAAGCAGGTATTGTTGATGTGAACCTCGTTGTCTCAGGTCTTCATGTCTTAAGCGGCTCCATATTCAAACCGATCTGCAATTCTCACCTGATTGGACTGTCCCTTCTCGCTCCAGGTTGGCGTGGAGGTGGAAAGCGTGCTTAAACTGCACGAGGGGCGACCCCACGCGGGAGATCTTTTGTCAAATGGCAAGATTCAAATGATGATCATCACGAGCTCCGGTGATGTTTTAGATCAAAGAGATGGTCGGGAACTGCGACGATCTGCCCTTGCTTACAAGGTGAAGATCGAATGGTGGATGTTTTGGATCTTGCGTTGTTTTAGAAGATTGGAATGATTTCTATGTTTATAGAGTATTATGTCGGCCAACTCAAATCACTTTTTCGGATCGAATAGTTCTACAATAGTCTAATGCGACAGTCATTCCGTTGAAATCGCAGGTTCCCATCGTCACGACAATTGCTGGTGGTTTAGCTAATCTGGAAGCCGTGAGAAGTCTGAAGGAGAGTTCACTAGAAATGATCCCTCTACAGGACTTCTTCAAGAAAAAGGATGTAGACGCCACATCCTGAGTAGGTAAAATCTGTCGAATTAAATTTAAAGTTCACCAATCCCATCTGAAGTATCGATTGAAGAGGAGGTATAATTCAAAATCTGGGCTCTGGCGGCGGCTCATTTTTGGCAGGATTGCGTCTTATGCGCATTCTCGTTCAAGTCTCACTAACAGTAAGCTGTTATGGTTGGTCTGGCAGACCATCCTGTAGATTTTTGAGGCTGAGTTGTATTCACAGGAGTCCGATTTGAGATGAGTCCCTCAGATCATAGCTTACACGGAAATCAATTTTCCTCCCACTGTCTAATCGGGAGTGTAAGGCTATCAGCTCATGTGTTGTCATTTTACAGATTTGTTAGTATATGTGAATAGGTCATACTTTTTCAGGAGACCAGTTGTGACCAGTCAAGGCACATTCTGTAGTTGTTACATGGAAGTGAAGCAGCGGAGGATGTCCATTTACTGTGTTTGACAGTGAAATGATTGACGCTCCCAACACCTTGGAGTGAGCACTGGGCCACCGGAAGGTTTGTAATTTCAGCTTTATAAAAAATCAGTTTTGCCTTTCTGTCCACTGGCTGAAGAGACTAGCCTAGATGTTGTACCTGCTAAAGGTACAACATCTATCTTATCTACATCCTGTTTTGTCCTATCGTCTATTGTTTTGAATTTTCTTTGCAACAGTCTTCTTGACAACGGACGACATGGCTTATGGAGATATATGGGAACCATGGAGTCCAGTCTCTATTTTAGCGAGTTTTGCTAGATGTTTACCGGAGGCAGGGTTCATGGTACGTCTCACCTTGTCCTGTCGAGCATGGAAAAGTTGTTGTATCGATGTCCAACTATGTAAGGGGACTTTCGAGACTTCTGTTCAGCCTTGGGCCTTCTACATCTTGGTGTGGAGTTTGAAGTCCAACAGTCGCTTTCTGCCTTTTTAGCATCAATTATCATATACTTTCCGAGGTAGTGTACCTGCGTATCAGCTTGCATTGCTCCCTACAGTGACAAGCTACTTTTCTTGCAACTTATGGTCGTCTACGTCTGCGTCTTTGGACGGTCCACCAGCTCGTGTATAGCGTTTGCAGCTTTTGTGTTGTCCATGTTTCTCTAGCTTCCTCTATTACAGTACTGTTTTCCGTTGGTGATAGATTCTGGTCATACTAAGCCGATTTTTGTTATATGGTAATCTTACAGGCGACCTTGCTAATCTTCACAAACTGCAAGGTCAACATTTGCTACGTTTGCTCGTCTCCCTCTTGTTTTTGGCTTCCTCTTGCTTCTCAATGCGATCCCCCATCAGCTTTCCCATGCTGTTATAAAATTTGACTATTTTGGGATGGTGTTTGTATTTGTGCATTGCTGATGGATTTGATGCTATATCCTGGACAGCTGTCATGATCTCAGGATCCTCCAACCCGGCTTGAATTTCCTTGTTGCTTAGCACTTCGCTCACAAGCTCCTGTGTAGGCTTTAAAAGTTCTGCCAAGTAAAATGTATACCGCGTCGAAACAGAGGTAGTGTTGTCGAAATACAGAGGAGTTATTTATTTCATAGCGATTGGGCATGAGCACACTTCTCTCTACCGGACTACAACTGATCATGTTCGCAACAAATGATAAGAGAAAACGATAAGCTGGGAAGGGAAGCAATGCGAAACCTGCGATGAGTGTAGAATCGTACCTTGCATCTCTTTCCTGAGTTGCGCTTCCGGGTCATCCTTTAAGTCCAATCGAAGAAACTCTGCCGAGGACGTACAAGCAAGCGATTTCATGGATTGTCTTTTTCAGCAGAAGCGAACGTATTCTGGTTGTGTGGAACAGGAAACTAACGGCAACTGTAAGGAGTTTTGAAGCAGTTACAAGCACATTGGATCTCGGTGTAACTCTGAACGTTTCCTAAGGTGTAGGGCTGCAGAAGATCGTAATGCAGATACTTGTTTAACAGTTCTACGAAAACACTCAGACGTTAAGAGATTGATGCAAAGAAATTCAGTGGCTAGGTTGACTCACCGGGGACTTTTTCGGCTGGTTTTGCGGCTTTCAAAAACGGGACAGTTGCCGAGTGCCCCTTGACTTTAGAGGATGGTTTGGAGGTCAAGAATCCTTTTTTGAATGGTGTGTAGGAGACTGGAGTAGTGGAGGGTGTGGTAGGATCTTCAGTTGAGGGAACCACTTTCAAAGTGGGTGAGACTTGTTGTGAAATATTCACCAGTGATGTTGTGTCTCTTATCCGTGCTTCCGTAGGGTTTTTTCCTCTTGTCTTCTCTGCTGCAATCGACAGTCAGGCGGACCGAGTCTAGACTTAATAACTGAAGTTATCAATCTTCAAGAAACCCAACAAACACTCCATGTTATCATAAAGAGATGAACTTTAAAGTTTCGGAGTGCGATCTTGTATTATGTCTACTGTACTTCTGATGTGTTTGCATGGGTGACCAGCCTCTCCTTAAGACAGCGCCGAAGCGTCAGTCTTCTATGAGTTGTACTCTTCAGGAGAGTTTTATTTCCATAGAGCCGTGAACTTGTAAAGTGTAATCTTGAATATTCAATTCCAAAAGACTCGTCATCTTCTTCAACAGATATCAGCATGTTCTGTTATGGATCTCGATTTGTTCATAAAAGTTGTTGGTTTGAAGCATGCATACATTGGTACATATGACTTCACGATGAAAGCAGGTAATCTGCTAGAAACCAGTCAGTCTCAGTTCTTTGGCCAATGATGTTCATCATGTACCTTGAACCCATTCTTGCATTGTGCTAGACGTGGGAAACATGGAACATCGAGGAAACGAAAGGAAGCTAGCTACCTGTAAGTCGTGTCTGAGAGTGGAGTAGCGAATGCATATATTCTGAACAGTTTTCGAGGGGAGGTGGTTCATCTGCTGCAGTGGAGAGTACCGTACACTTTAGAAAAGTATCCACTTTACTTTCAACTAAAGAAGACTGGAAACTCTCAAATCTATTTTAGTACGAGGAAATTGGTCGCACCTGATTGGTCATCAGCAGACGCCATTTCAAGCACGTAGAAAGTACTCTCTCCCCTTTCAACTGCGAGAAAAGGTACTTCACAATCGGTCTGCTGGGAATTACATGTTTGCTCCTCAATTGTCTATGGTGGTCGGGAGTCGGTATCGATTTAACTGCTTTCTCTCCTTAGGTGCGGGACTTTGCATCATAGGTAGAAATCGCTTCCTGCCGTAAATTTTCAAGCACTGTGCAGTGCGGTATATGTACTTGGTCTTCGATGGTGGAAATTCACCACTTCCGAGAGAGCGATGAAATCAATTTCACAAACTAGGTTTGTAAATCACTATTTATGCCGGCCTGTTGTAGAGCTAGGAGGATTCTGGTGCACGACATTGTGAACATGGGTCACGACAATCCAAATCCAGAAGTAAATCTCCTACGATCCAAAAACCTTAAACTGTATCGATGTGCAGGTGGCGCAGCCCTAATCACCTGTCACCGTGTCCTCCATCTTAGCTCGGGCGACCATTGTGAACGCCTGATACATTTCGTCATTTCAGCACGAAAAACACGGACGTCTCAAAGTTTACCTTCAAGGTCTCGGGCTTTGTGGCAGGTTGCCAATCAGATGTGGTCTGTCTGGGTGGAGCAATGTGGCAGAGTATGTCCTGGTTTATGAAGCCGCCGAGTTCAGTCTGTTGGTCTGTTAGACCGAATTGCGTCTTGGGAATTCGTTAACTTGAAGTCGATTTTGACATTCAAGCTATCTTCCGCCAATTTCAACGAACGCCCACATCGATTTCGGGAGACTAATACGAGCTCGTCGGTCTTCTTCATCATGCCTGAGTCACGGATGAGGGTTGCCACAAAATTTGGTCGGGGTTTTTTAAGGTACTTGGCCTTTTGTCAGAGACATCTGTCCATCCACTTCATGTGATACATAATATTACAAATTAACTTAGTGACAGGATCTGGCTAGTCCCAGTAACATCTCAAAACTTTTTGTACCAGCTGAGCATGTCTATATACATGTTCGGGAGATGTTACTTTCAGGTTTGGAAGTTTTGATTTACTTGGTCATAGTTTTTTTTTGACCCGATGTGTCATGGTTTTGTAATACAAATTGATATTTTTTATGCTTAATTTTTATTTTTTTTTAATGTTGAGAGAATCCGAACATAAAACACTATTGTATTAAGCAAGAAATGTTACTCTTAGGATTGTGACATGATTTTTAAAACTTTAAATATGGATAATAATGATAATAAAGTATATATCTCCCATTTGGTTGAGATATGAACGATACCTTTCAATTAATTGAACGTTATCGTGATAATTATTATAGTATCACTAATCCCATCATTTACACTTTTTCACAAAATTGTTCAATCCTTACCATGAGAATGATACTGAATTATGAATCGCGGTACAAAATGTATGCAATACCACATTTTATAAGAATTTCATGAGTATTTGAAAACATCATCACATCAATTTCTTTAGATTTAAAAATAGCATTGTCAACATAAAAATTTATTATATTCAATTTTTCATATGAAGTCATAATTATATTAATAGATAGAAAAAATTTATTTAATAAATTTTTGAAAGTGATAGGGTTTAGAGTTTTTTATTCAGTGTTGATTCAATTTTTTGATAAATTCTAAATACCTCACATTTAATCATTTATAAATATTAGTTTGTAATTTTATAAAAGAAGATGATAAAGTTGTTAGTGACACCACTAAAGTGATTTTTAGAAGTAAAGCATGTGGTTTGAGTATATAGTTCTTATTTTGTCTTTTGACTTCATGTGTAACCTAAGTGTAATTTGCCTTCATAATGTCTCTAGTCAATTGATAATTAGAGTTGAAAGGCATTTTAACTCTGTTGAATCTCGATATTACTTCCATAGTTGGAAGGTTGAGTTGACAACGACATGTGTTCTTCACAAGCTTTATCAGTCCGGTGTAGAGGTATAACCTGAAAAGTACAGTGACGAAATACTCAATCCAACAACCAACACAAGACACAAAAATAGTGTGATTCATTCTCAAGAGTAGGGATACGTCCACTAAGAACACTTGATACTTTGCTCCAAATCTTGTCACAACAAATTCTATTTACAGGGCAGAAGTGGAAGTATTAAAACCCAGTTCAAGCCACTATCATAGCTATTTATAGTTTATATCCGAAGTTAATACTTAATTGGAGTTAACGTCAACAATTTTCCCTTAACTCATGCTAAAGAAACATAAACTTCTATAACTTACATCATTATTTAGCAGTAAGTTCTGTACAGAAACCTAACACAATGTCCACTCTTTACATAAGAATTAGTTAGAACTAAGCCATAATCATATATGATAAAGTAATCTCATAAAGAAGTAATTTAAAATCTTCTAGCATAGAGGAAATAGAAATCTCGTAACCTATATAATTACTCCGTGGTAATCTTTAAAAAGAATCATAATACAAAACACTTCTTTAGACAGAGAGTGAACTAAGAAGTAAGTCGTAATCATTATCATAGGATAGAGTATATATATAAAGAGATAACCAAAAATACAATGCTAGCAAAATCTACCTATGCTCCCCATGCACAACCTGCATGGTAGCACAATGTCGTCTGAGACTCTCCAAAGTAATAACTTTGATCAACACTTGAGTTAAATTGAGTTTATTGTCAATCTTGACTAACTCAATCATGAAAGTTTAGCATCAATCTTGACTAGTTAAGTTATCAAAATTTACCGTCAATCTTGACTAGTTCAATTTTCAGAGTTCATACTCAATCTTCATTAGCTCAACCATGAGAGCTTACTATCAATCTTGATTGGTTCAATTATTTTATCAGACAATCTTGTTTAAAGAAATACCTTATATCATTATGCTTCACTATATTGTACATAACTTGTACCAATGCTCATCTTCATCATTGATCACATAATGATCAAACTTCCTACAATCATATCAGTGAGTAGAGATTTTACCTGGTCAATACAAAGATCATGAGAATACTTTCAATGATTTGTGTTCATTGAAACACACACATACTAATTAGAACATTACAATATAGTGGAATCCTGCTTTTTCCAAAGCAGTTAATCATGTCGTGCATCAAATGAAGGGTATGACATTACAATTAGAACCACCGACTTGTCTCGTGGCATCTTCGCCCATTGAAAAACAAGATACAAAACCTTATGTGGAAGTTTCCTCCATCTTTCAGCTCTTGAAAATGATCTAGATTCATTAGTTGCGTTGAGAACTTTTCAACGATATCCAATTTGGCTATATTTTGACAAAGATTCTTTTGGACATAATATTTTCTCTTACAGACATAACCTTTTTGACATACAAATCTTTTGGACGAAATCTTCTTGATGTTCTCACGGACATGCTGAGTCTGCCCACCATGTGTCGTCCGCATTTGTGACCGTGACCGTGATTCGCGACTGTCGATCAACGTCGCAAGTGATTGTAACTCGTCGTTGTTCACTACTAATTGCGTCCGAAACTGACCGTTACCATCAGCCGCGATTAATTGCTTCGTGACTCATCATCACCGTGGACTATGGATTGTCGCCGTTGTCGATGACTGTAGAATGCTCGTTGATCATGTTCGCCCTGCCAACCGTGATTGCCCCGCCGACCACAGTTGCTTCACTTGCCACGTTTTGGCCAGCAAAAACCTGTCAAAATCAAAAAAAAAATAAAGTGTCACAGGAAACTTCAAGAGGTGAGCTTCACGGGTATAATCCAACAGTAAGCTTCCTTGGGAGAGAAGCAACAACAATGATTTGTGTTTCATCATCCATGGTCTCTCTTCTTTCATAAACTATGAATTCTCGGTTCCTGAAAAGTGGGGTGGCTCCTCCGCTGAAAACCAATTTCATAAGATTCAGATTCTACTTTGCAATCCAAAGTTAGTGAACTTCCACAAAGTAAGGGTTCCATTGCTTATGAGTCTCAATTGCAATGACAAGACTCCAAATTTGTGAAGTAGGCACGTCAACAAAACTCCTTCCTCGGACAAGCATCATTGATCCCTATGATCTTAGAGATATTTTTACACCTTTTTTGACACTATAAAGTTTCTAATCATCATAGAGTTCCGGTCGAGAGGCTGCGAGCAAATCCTGCACGCATCTTTCACTAACGTGTGTGACATATTTCTACATTGACTCTTCACTAACGATACTATGACTCAAAGCCATCTAGCTTCTCTATGAATTTACTCTGGAGTATGGCAGGCTCGGATGAGCATATCGAACTACAAGTCACATGAGGTCGGTAACTTGCTAAGAGAATTTGTAAGCAACGCAACTACAATCGTCTTGGTAGTCAAGAATGTGACTCAATCTCGAAGAACACAGTGAGGGATCTGTGAGGTTCAGGCCTGATAACTTCGAGGAATTAGAGCTTCACCGCTTGAACTCGGCTTAACATTTTTCACATCAACTTTGATGAGTACTAGATACTACATTCTAAAACTGTTGTATGATTTTCATCATACATCACTTTCAATGCAATGCCATCATCATACTAAAATCTTGATGATGGTATTGAGTTCATTTTAAAATAGATTAAATCTTGCTATTTAGAAAAATTTCATAAATTTATCGATAAGATTAAGTAAAATATTGTTTTAAAATCTAAGATGTAATTTATTATAAGACGTGAAAGCTAATATAGCTTTTAAATAATTAATTTTTGGTTAATCTCAAATGAATGTATAAGGTGAACAACACTCTGGCGGATGAAGAAAAAAAGATGCTTAAATCAGATTGATTGCTAAGATTTCACAAAAAAAACCGACTGTAAATTAAAAAAAATAAAATAAAAATTAGTATGGAAATGTGATACTTTTGCTTATATTTTCTGCAATGTTTTGCCTGCTACAATTTTTAGTCTACTTATATATAATATGATTTTAGTCACAAAATTTTTAAATGAAGCTATAAAGAATTAATCTACATGAAACAATCAGTCAGTTATAAAAAAAGATGGTGATCAAGAGAAGTTTGTGTGTATATTCTTGAAATCACTATATAGATTGAAAGAAGTTCATTACTATTTAATGGAAAATTTATGAATCTATAAAAGTTCAAGAATTTTTACGGAGGGAGTATAATGCAGGTGTATACATAAAGAAAAAATGACCAATGAATTTCTTTATTTTTATTTTCAATTGTTTTATGTAGATAAAATTTTACTCTTGATAAAGTATCAATCTGCACAAACATAGTCAATATTTAACTAATTTTTTTTGAACATGAAGCATTTGGATTTGTTCAAAAGTATATTACAAGTAGGTGTTGATTGAAAGTTGGAAAAAAAAAGCTATGATAAAATCAAGTCATTTATATACAATGTGTTGTTAAAAAATTTCAGATATAATATTTCAAAAAAGTTTGTTTTTATTTGACAACACACTTCAAGGTTCAATCTATGCTATTGAGAATGAAACTATGTCATCAATTTTTTAATGACAAGGTAGTGAATATTCTCATGTATTTGATGGTTAAAACTAGATGAGATATTGCTTTAACTCTTAACAAGATGAAAAGTTAGAGGTTAAATTTTGGATGTTACATTGCAAAATTATGAAATTGATTTTCAGATATTTGAAAAATACTGCAAGTTATGGAATTTTATTTTTTTTATTTGTTAGATAATGTTAAATTTTTTTAATTTATGCTCAATGTTGACTATAGACAAAAAAATATATTTAACTGAATATGTGTTTGTGCTTGGTGATAGATGCATTGACTGAAAATATTTTTTGCAATATGAAAAATATCAAACATCAAACATCATTTTACCAGAAAAAATAATTTTGA